AAATGCAACGTTGGAAATGAGATTTTGGCGACAGTCTAAGACACGGACTATCCTAATATTAAAGTTGTTGTTGTTAATTCAGCTACTCGGACCAAAAGTTCCAAGTAGCACGGGCTATGGTGAGTCCGTAATGGACTTACCTGGCACAGGAACTCTACGCAGTACACTAGTGCATTTACCACACTTAGGTACTTAGGCTTGAAACTCTACGCAAAGAACTTGAGCTATTCTGGAAAAAGCAGCCTTTTCATCGATGATTTATCGAATTTAGGAAACAAAAGTCACTTTGAATACCCGATATTTCTTCGTGATCAATTATTTTTATCATTTCATATTCTGTTGCTTTATTTAAACTGTTTAAAATATATCTCCTACAGGTCTCCATATTGCAAATGTCTATTTTCCTTATCTATACATAGCTCCTGTTTCCAAAACCCTTTCAATGAGCTCATGCATTCCGTAACATCATAATTTGCGCCTCCTAATAGCGTCCCTTGGGGGAATAACCTTTTTATGTTCCTTGGGTCAGTGGGTCAGGTACCCCAAGTGCCACTGCCTCTACCTCACCCACTGGTACCTTCTCTACACACACTGTGCTCAACTAACACTTACCTCCTTCCTCTCTCACTGTGATGTGGCACGTATATATAGTAACTATATATATTAAAAAATGTCTACCATTCACGTTTATCATATATTTCGTTGCCTAAAATAGTTTATCGTGTAACCGGAATGTACTCGGTTAAGATCACATTAGTTGACAAATACATTTGTTTTTGTATTAAATAATATACAATATAAACTAAGTTCTCCAAATATCTTACAAAGTAAAAATAATCATGGCCACGACAATCTACTTCCATGGATAAATGAGGGTTAAAACAAAGAAAGCAATGAATCTTATTGTAGAAATGTGAAGAGTTCAGTGGCGCAAGGTTCTATCTTGCAACCAACGCTTTTTATCATATAACATCAATGGCATTGATTAGAATAATAAATTATCCATCAAATTTGTAGATGGCACTAAGATCTATGGTAAAGCAGGATGTGAAAACGACATTGAGGCCTTACAAGGAGATCTACATGAACTCCGCAAATGGCCCGAAGTTTAGCAAATGCTTTTCAATGTTGAAAATTGCAGGAACTTGCATGTAGATTCAGTACAAGTATTGTAGAACATAACAATACACATCACAACTCACAAAACACAACCATGCAGCAGATTTGTGAAGAAAAGGGCTTAAAGAGCTAGAATCCACCAGTCATTAAACAACAAGTCGGAGCTGTAGTAAAAAAAAAAAAAAAAAAAAAAAAGTCAAACGACTTCAAGGAAAATAAATTTGTAAACTGTCCAAATCGCTGGAGCGGCCTTATCTGGACTACTAAGTTCAACACAGAGCGACAAAATTATCCCAGAACTACATCAATTCTCATAAGGATCGTTTGAGGGCCACAGGCGTAACAACGCTTTAGATCAGACATGTTTGTTGTTTTAGATTCAACTACTCGGAACAAAGGTTCCAAGTAGCACGGGCTATTGTGAGCCCGTAGTGAACTGACAGGGCTAGTTTCATCGAGATCTTTAAAACATTGATAAATTTGTAAGTCCAGACAACTTCTTTAAAAGGTCAGATGTAACACATACAAGGGGCAACAACATGAAAGATCAACAAGCCAAAATGTAGGATAGAAAACAGGACATGCTTTTTCACCCATGAAACCGTAAATGCCAAGATATTAATGTACTTCAGAACCCAGAAAGAAAAAAAAAAGTACTCAGGAACTATGAGGAAAGGGGGGGGGAAGAGAGAGGGAGGAAATTATCAGGGGAAAGCGCCTAGCCGTTACGACTGTATAGCCCTTGGAAGGAATCAGGATAAGGATTTAGGATGGGACGGGGGGAAGGAATGGTACCCAATTACTTAAGACATCCGGGAATTGAACGCTGACCTGCATGAAGCGAGACCGTCGCTCTACCGTCCAGCCTAAGGTTGTGTGTTGAAGGCGTGGCTTAGGAGCAGACGCTCCCCAAGTTAAGCCCAGCAAGGTGAGCACGCTCACTCTCCTCACCACTTCAGCAGCCGATACCTTACTCAAAAGCCCACTTCAGCAGCCAATCCTCGACTCTTTAGAGGACGAGGTTTGAAGGTCACATTTATGCAGCCTGACTCTGGCATTCCTCGCACCATTGTCTAAAGCAAAGTTAGATTTATAAACCTCGATATAATCCTGACTAGTATATACTGTATGAACTGGCTGCCTGTCTCCAGACAAAATGAAGTAAATGATTATCGTTTCAGGCATTAGTTTGACATATACATTAATGTGTTTGGGAGGATATAAATAAGAGCTGCCTTTTATCAGCTAATAGGCCTTCTGCATTTCTTTACTTATTACGTTTTTTGTTCTTATGCTGCTAGGTCACATTTATAGATGCACTTATGACATGTCTTCCTAGTGATACAGAGCTTGCATAACCCTGTATGGTCATACCAGATTACTTTTTTTTTAAGATCTATACAAGAGTTGTTACATTCTTGTACAGCCACTAGTACGAGTAGCGTTTCGGGCAGGTTCCTGGAATACGATCCCTACCGCGAAGAATCGTTGTTACAACCAAGTACACATTTTACTGTTGCGTTAAACAGAGGCTACAGTTAAGGATATTCCCCACCATTATTGCATATGATTTAACTGCAATGCCAAACCAGCAAAACAGAATTTGTTTTTATATAGTTTAGTCAAAAGCAATTACTGGCCAGACGGCCCCTGCAGTGGGGAAACACTTACAGTGTGCTGGGCATCATAAATCACTTTGAGTTTCTTAGAAGCATTAACAAAGACACTTATTCTTCAGGATGAGGGATTTCCTCCTCAGGTCGAAATGATCAATAGAGGCAAGTGTTTATGCCTTGGTTACAGCATGCCTTGATACCTTCCTTGAAGGTTTCACCGCCTTAGTTTAGTTACAAGTTCCCCACATGTCTGGTCGAAGGTTCGAGTCTCCTAAAGCCTAGGTGAATGGAATGTTTATTTCTCCCCCGGAAGTGTGGATGACAATTTATAATACAGTACATGGGGAATCATTGCAGATGTGTACCAAGAGAATCCTGTAAAAAAGACCATCCTTGCAGAAAAAGAATGGAAGAAGAAACAAGGTCCACTGGAAGGGTTGTGTCAAAGTATGGCACAACTTAAAATTGGGACGACATAGGGACCACATGAAGTAATGAAGGCAGGACTGATTATGACAGTCCTGTAGAGACAAAACACCAGTTTCATCATATAAATTCTGGATAGGGGATGAGTGAAAGACACCAGAGCCAAGGTGCAGAGTATCAAGATGATGAAACGTTTAGGGTGAAGCTGAAGATTTCACAGGGTAGCCATAGTCTAGTTAAGACAGAACGAGCACAGATAAAAGCGCATGTGCCCGTCAGCCCCCAGGAAGTATGGGGACAAAACTTTAACTAGGTTAAGAGCCTTGAAGTATATAATTCAGAGGCATGTTATGTAAGGTGATCAAGGAAACTAGTTGTCAAAGATCAACCTTAAGAGTTTAGTATTATCTTTATACGCAAGAGGATTTCCATAGACCAACAGGGATGGATGAAGAATGCTATGCTTCTAAGTAAAAGTCATAGCACAAATCTTAGTTTTTGAGAAATTGAAGCCATGACTGGTAGGCCAGGATGACATACTGCACTATTAACTGCAAGTTGGAGTCAGCATTGTATTAAGGGAGAAATCATCACAACAACACTAGTCAAAGAGCAGAAAACATTTGATTCAGAGGATGATAAAGGAAGATCAGGAAATGAGTAATGCTTAAAATGCAACATTGGGGAACACCTTTATACTGTTGAAAAGTGTCGGAGAGCAGGTAGTGCTATAAACATTTTCCAGGTCAAGAAGACCCACTACAATTAAGGTATTTGTAGCAAAGGCAGAATGAATATAAACCTCCAAATTCACCAGGATGTCACTCCTGTTATGACACCTGTGAAAGCCAAATTGAAAAGGGAAAAAAGGCAACAATGATGTTTTAAAAGCCACACAAGACAGACACTGACCAAGGGGCCAGGACCTCCATAGAAGATTTAAGTGTAAGATGGGCTGCCCATTACACAAGTTCAAAAGATGAAGAGTTAGACAAAAATTCACAATAATTAATAAAGTATTCATGTCCCTCCCTACCACAGAGCCCAACAAGAGAGTGGAAGGGAAAGCAAATATGAGCGGCCCTGGGGCTGTCGGGACTCTGGATAAGCTAATTCTTGGTGCCCCTAAATATGTTTCAAACTTATACTGGATTTACAGCACAAAATCAAAATAGTTAATGTAATGCTAAAAGGTATAACCACATGGATTAATAGTTGGGTGATGATTAATAATAATATAAATGAAAATGATTGGCTAAATTTATCAATGAACTGTATGTACAAAGACACTATAGGTAGTATTTTAAAACTGTTGACTTTGCATTTGGAAGTTACCAAACACTTGACAACACTGTTGGCAATTGCCCAGCTTGAACTTGCCTTGAGTAAATGCAGGTTACCATTCAGAAGCCAGAGAGTACACTAGGGACTAATCAATTTATCTGGGGCCATACTTACACTCTCCTCACCTTCCAAAATTTGTATATCTCATCACCAAAGAAGCTTTTAGTCCCACAGCTCACAGGAATCCCATCTTTATGGGACAGATTAAACTCCCAGACGAAAGGAAATGGGGAATATGTCATGTAAAGCAAAAACACAGATGGAGATCACTACAGACCCAAGCATTTATCTTGCTCCTCATCTTAAGCCACAAAATTAGCTTCATATTCTACCCTGTACTGCCATTTGGTTCATTGAAGCATTTGAGCCCCCCCTCCCCATGACAAAAGCACCAGTCATGGAAAGGAAGGGGAGAGGGGAGGGATCTTTGCAGCACCTACTGGTGTCATGCTAATATTATGTTTCAGTTTTATATTCAACAGGGTAGACAAACAATTTTTAAAGAATACCCACTATTACATCTTCAAATACCTTTTAAATACATCAATTTCATGAATCACAGATATAAAAAATCTTAACAAATTGGGCATACATCTCAATACTTGTAAAACTGTCACTGGCAACAAGAGCACAAGAGCCAGGAAACAAATGTGTAGCCTCTTGTGGACCATCAGCAACTACAGCAGGTCATGTAACAACACTACAGGGTGATGCTTCTCACGGCCACCACACAACTCCTTAATCATTCATGTGAGGTAATAAAGCTCTGAATAATCACTGGAATATTTAAGTGCACAAACAAAATATGATTAATAAAATTAAAGTCTAAATCTCATGCTTGCTGATTAAACAGCATTTGAAAACTTTAAGTGACCATCAATTAAAATGAATTGAGCAAAAGATCTGTATGAGAAGTAATGTGCTGAAAATATGTAAGAAATATGAAAATTACTGATTGACTGCTGGACTGTGGACTCTTTTTCAGGCCTTCACAGTAAGCCCTCAATAGCAGGTTGGGAAAAATAAAATCCCTCAACACAACATATGGACGTCACAAATATTAACTATGGTAATATGTTTATATATGTGCAAAGAACCCTATCTGAAAATTATATATCAATATTTTATTGAATAGCAAATTGCTAATATATATATGTATATAAACTTGTATATACACACTGGATGTACAGTAACTCTGAGGAACACCATAGGAAAATAACTGATGCTTTGCAGTAATATTATTGAAACAGTTTATCCTGAAACTTATGCCTCAGTATACAGACAATGCTTTACAGCATCACAGGATATGAAGTCATGTGTTAACTGGAATAAGCTGGAACTACTTGGACTTGACCCAGTACGTCAGAACTGTAGCAGCTGCTTTAAGTCATCCCTACAATCCCTATACACAGGGTAAACAGTCAACCCCCTATTTTTCTAACCACATTTTTTATTCTTTGGTCAGAAATATCAGCTTATCAGAATTCCATACACAGTAAATTAAAAATTTCATACTAAATCACAATAATATCTTTTCAAATTTTTTCCTACACCAGTACAAATTTAAGTTGATTTACCCGTTCCAAAATATGTTCATAAAAAAAAAAAATCAATAAAATGCAGCTGTCTTTTTTTTAGTTTATAGTTCAACACTTATGTTTTCATTAGTATTATATTAGATCATAAACACTGTCTTTATATTAACTATCATTCATCACAGTCTTCAGTATTGAATATGTATCCATGAACAGTAATCATAAATCACAGCAGTATTGTCTTTCATTTCATGTCCAATCCACATTGGCATGTGCCAATATCACCTTGCATAACAAACCTGCTAAACCATACATTTCTGCAGTGTCAACTTGTAATACTCTGCAAATTCGTTTTAGTGCCATCCTGCATGGCACACATACGGAACCTGGGAACGTGCGTCTGCAAGTGTGCTTCCTGTTTTCGTGTTCTACCTTGGTGGGAATATTGTCACTCTTCTTCAAGGGCTTGTAAGCAGTTCTTCAGAAGCTGAGCTTGTGCCTGAACAGCAAGAATTAATGCATTGCATTACCAGGTCAATATCCCAACGATACTTCCTATACCTAGACACTAGCATTATTATATATCAAATTTAATGCAATGAGTCTATGCCAAAATAAAGGCACTAAATTTTGAACATTATCAAAAAGATGATACTTAAAAAAAACTCTAAATATATAGAGAGAATCAAAGAAAAAATACAATGACCAATAAGTTTAATTTTAAAACTTTTGTTATATTTACTCTGCTGCTAACAATGTTACTTTATTTTAGTGAAAATAATAATTAAACTTTAGACTGAAAACTTTAATGTTAAAATTAATTATTAATTAATAATTTTAATTAATTAACGAGGAGCTGAGACACAAGCACTACCCAGGACGAGGTCCCTTGTGAAGAGACCCCACAATGAGACAAATTTCAAAAGGCCAACAGTTAACTAATGCCTAAAGCTCAAAGAGCAGTCAGGTACCCGGAGGCAAAAACACTAAGTGTGTAAATAACTGTGGTGGCTGGCAGTGCCCCTCAGCCCACCAGGGTTGCCATCTTGTGGTGAGCGAGTGTTGCTAATCTTAAGTTGGACCTGAATAACAAGTACATAATTCTCATCCTGTTACTGCAAATGGCAGTTTTTCTTTGGTTCTGTGATCTTATACTCTGATTCCCCTTGCCTGTGCTGAAAGGGTCACATTTTGATACTGGTCTCCACTAAGTGTTCTTCTTTTGTTAGAGACCGGAGTGGTACAAGAGGTTTGAAGGTTACCAGGTGAGTAGCACAGGAAGTCCTCCCAGAAACATCTTTAAAATGAAAGCTTTGAGAGGTTAATCTCCTCAGCAAACTAGAACATTCCAGTCATTGGGATGCATCTCCCCACCTCCTCTCTCGCTCACACTAATGATAACAGGTACATTACCATATATCCTTGGCAGACATGTACCTATCTTTTTGACAATCAAAGAATACTCAACCAACAAGTGTATGACATACTTTAGTATCAGTCCCCTTATCTGAGACATTCAACTTTTCTTCCAAACTCTTCTATTCCTGTTCCACCCTATCTATCAATGCTGGGAATTCATTAATTAGTCTTAAACCTATTTATTTTCTGCATGTCACTTCCCTATGTTTAAGTCAGATTAACTATGTTGTATTGCACTATAAAATATTATTTTTTCTCTGATCCAGTCATCTGGCTAATTTGTAATAGACAAAACATTTTCAGCATTTAACTTGTTGCTAGTTGAAGACATATCTTTAACATTAGGATTGTTAGTCCACGTACATGAGAACCCTTGATCACCTTTGACCCACCTTTCCCTTGCCTTTAAGTATTATTTCCAGAACTGTCATCCATCCTCTTTATATGTCCATCTCATATGTGAAACAGTTAACAAAATGAAATACAGTATTAAGTTCTAAAAGTTATGACAATCCTGCATAGTTATGAGAAACCTTGAAAATTTACTTACTAAATACCACTTATCTATACATACCTTTGCATGTTTTAGTTCTAGTTCAGCAAGTTCAATCAAGTTCTTCCTGAAGGCTGCCACACGACGCGACTTGAAGTCACCCAGTTCTACAGGTATACCATAAATGGAACAGACTTTAGAAAAATGCAAATGCTAATAACATAGCAAGAGAAATCTGTAAATTTCATTATGTGACAAACAGCCAGCATACAGTCTGTGTGGTGTATCTAAAAACATATATAATACATACCCTCCTTGGCTCTTGATGACATGTGTTCAAACCTCTCGCAAGCATTCTGTTGCGCTAGTTCCGCCTAAAGGAGAGAACACACACACCATACAATAATAAACAACGACAAATTTTATGCAATAATTAGATCCGAAGTTAAAGTGAAAATTAAATGACAATTATACAGATTCAATTAAGATATTCTGTCAGTTTATTACACCACTATTAAATGCTTCAGTTATTATCTATGAATGCTGACAATTGTCATACTGAACTCGTCACCTCGTCACGGCCCTTGTGGATTTATTTATTTGTCATATTGAACTTTGACACATTTTAAGAACTGATAATAAACAAAACATCTACAATTTAGTAAACTACTATTTCTTAAAAGTACCTTTTGGAAATCAAGTGAAATAAGATCTTGAATCAATAGGCCTGGAGACTAATTAATTACTAAACAGTACTTGAAATATATAACTGCATGACAAACAATATACCAAATATACAGCAATTTTAACTAGTACTGTAGGTGCAGAAATTTGTAGTGGAAGGTGCATTTAAAATAGAAATTTTAATTTTGCCAAGGTTTGGCAAATTTTAAATTTTCATGGTTTGCCTGGGCCATTGTGATAACACATCAAACATACTTTATTTGTATACTTTGTGTGCATGTAATAACCATTTAAGAAATTAACATTAATTATATATATATATGTCGTACCTAGTAGCCAGAACGCACTTCTTGGCCTACTATACAAGGCCCGATTTGCCTAATAAGCCAAGTTTTCATGAATTAATATATTTTCTCTACTTTTTTTCTTATGAAATGATAAAGCTACCCATATCATTATGTATGAGGTCAATATTTTTTTATTGGAGTTAAAATTAACGTAGATATATGACCGAACCTAACCAACCCTACCTAACCTAACCTATCTTTATAGGTTAGGTAGCCGAAAAAGTTAGGTTAGGTTAAATTAGGTTAGGTTAGGTAGTCGAAAAACAATTAATTCATGAAAACTTGGCTTATTAGGCAAATCGGGCCTTGCATAGTAGGCATAGAAGTGCGTTTTGGCTACTAGGTACGACATATATTATTTATATATATATATATATATATATATATATATATATATATATATATATATATATATATATATATATATATATATATATATATATATATATATATATATATATATATATAATATATATATATATATATATATATATATATATTATATGAAAGTAATAATAATTAAAAGCAAGTGCAATAGGAAATCAATACAGTATACAGAAATCCATCTTTAAATTCATATCACACAAATTTCCACAAGCCATAATGAAGCCAATAAGAATGAGTCGAGAACACATAAGTAACACACCAAGTGAACACAACCCTCCCTGTTAGGCTATAATCAATTACTTATTTATAGCTCAAGAAAATTATGTGATACAGTATCAGTTTTTTGCTTACATTAACAAAAGTGTCCATGAACAAAACTTTAAGGGGTAATAATTTTGTTGAAATAAATATTAGCTTTAAGTTGTTTTAGTGCAAGAGTGCCAATGTTATTAAGGAACAGACAGCTTCCCTGGAGTCCTCTGCCATGTAAAAATATTATTTGTTTATAAATTTGTTGCACCTTCCCTTTACACAGGACTTATATCAAGTTCAATTAGACCAGCCAATTTAATAATCACTACTGTCACAGAACCATGCTACAGTGCAAAATTGTGGGCAAACAATAGGGTTTTTGTTTACTGTAACTTATTTCCCAAAATAGCAAAGAAGCCAATGCAAGATATCCAACAATCAAAGCAGTCTTCTCACACTACAAATGCCCATACATGTGAACAGTATTACTGGCCAGTCTTTTCATAGTACACTATATTTACTTATAAACTGTATAGATAGATCTTACTTTGTCTAGCTTGCAAGCCACAAATTTATGTATACTATATACTTAACACTTTCGCTCAGTAATGACGCAGCATTGCATGCTAAATTTAGTACACGGACTTCCGGCTTCCGAAGCAGCATTGCGTCGTCCATTAAAAACTGTGTCCAGCATTTGCACTTGGCTGTGGGAGGGGCGCGCCGTGGTTTTGGACCTTATATGCCTTATATATAAAGTTAAAAAGAGCATACACATTTTATTGTGCTTGATTAGCGCTCACGGAGGTAATGCGATGTCACTTTCTTTGTTTGCTGTGGGTGGTATGCCGGGATTTTGGACTTTATATGCATTTAGTCCTGTAGAGAATTCAATTGAGAACACACTGATACCAAAATGAAAGACCTATGACGAGAATTGAGGTGACCAAAGTGAAAGAGTGTTTACACTTTTCACTGCTTTTGCACGCTCCCGAATAACTCGCTCTCACTTTCTCTGTTTGCTGCAGGTGGTACGCCGGACTTTTGGAATTTATATGCAATTAGTTCTGTAGAGAATTCTATTGCGAACACATTGATATCAAATTGAATAACCTAGGACGAGAATTGAGATGACACAGTTGAAAAAGAGTATAAACCTTTCAGTATTACGCGCTTTCTAATGGAAGGCCAGGCGCCCCTTAGGGTGGCGTGGCGCTCTCTTCCGGGTAACCTTGGCCTGCTTTCATCACATCAGCGGGTGGAGAGTGCTGCGGTTTTTGACATTATATCCATATACTCCTGTTGGGAATTCTATTGCAAACACATTGATATCAAAATGAAAGACCTAGGATGAGAACTGAGGTGACCAAAGTGAAAAGAGTCTACACATTTTATCGCTCCTACGCGCTCCCAGGTAACACGCTCTCACTTTCTCTGTTTGTTGTGGATAGTACGTCGGGCTTTTGGACTTTATATGCCTTTAGTCCTGTAGAGAATTCTATTGTGAACACAATGATACCAAACTGAAAAACCTTGGACAAGATTTGAGGCGACAAAATTGAAAAGAGTATACACTTTTCAGAATTACCACGCACTCCCGTGAAACACTGAAACCCACCTCGGGTAGTGCGGGGCTCGCGCGCACAGTGAGCGAAAGTGTTAACGAGTTAATTGCTCAAGGTGTTACTAATGAATGCCAAGATCCCAGCATTATGGAGGTGGGTCAAGCTCAACGAGGTGAAGCTGAGCTTGATCATAATGCTAAGCCCCAACAGTAGTGATGAGGCATAAAGCACCATTGTAATAAACATGGAAGGTGTTGCATGAGGTGATGAATCAGTAGCTACAAGGGATGTGGAAGATATCCCTCCCACAGAAGTGAAAGGATCAGAGGAAGAGCTAAGAACAATGCCAGATCAGGACCCAACACAGCAAGAGCCATGGGGCCAGGAGGAAGTACCCCCCTTGGGAGAGGGATAAACTTATCCTTCTAGGCCAGTCTAACTAGAGAGCCTGATTGTCTACCACACAAGGCTGAGAGAGAGAATAGCCCAACAAGTGACAGTAACAAAGAGGGGTAACAGGAAAGTATATGTAGGTAACCAGAGAAGGGTCCAAATCAGCTACCAAGAGACTAACAAGGATACTGAACCACCAATGCCCAATTAATCCAAATAAGGATACACTCACTAGTTAGACTAACTGACTGATTCAATTGAGCAACAGGGAACTTCCTGTTCTACTCCTATCCTTCTGCTAAAGAAGTGTGTTGCCCCCAGGACCTGCAGCCACTGGACAAAAGATGTCCAGATGAAGGGAAATGTATGTATGGCTAAGCCAAAGGATATATTTCACTTGTGCACTGCCACAGTAGGCTAGAGAGGGAAGCAGAAACCACTATCACCCACTCGTGGGTGAGGACAAGAGCCCTCGCACCACATCAAGGCAGCACCCATTAGGAGGTGACCCATCTAGGTGAACCAAGTGTTTCATGGAATGTGGGAGTTTTGTGAGGAACTGGGGTTAGTAAGGCATATTCTATCCTATAATAGTGAGGGTGCCATAACAACAATAAAGATCGATAACTGGCAATGAGCCAGTTGGAGATCTCTGGAGATGTCCCTGCAGGGAAAGGGAGAGGATCAAGAGTCAGGGACTGGTCCATGTTATGGCCAAACAAAGCAAATACTGTAGAGCCAGCAGGAAGCTTCCCCCCCTCATGAGAGGAGAAATCCAATCTTCTAGACAGTTCTGATTTGAGGACCCAGTCACCCACCACAAAAGACAGAGAAGCCAAAAGTTTAATATTCAAAATAAGTGTGAAAGAAGAGTGGACCCCAGAGGTATGGGATACCAACTACTAAGGCAGCAAGGGATTCCAGGAATAAGCCAATGCTGGACAGGCTTTGTATCATTCCGAACAGTGCTCCCTCTTTTTAACAACAAGACCTACAACATCCTACAAATCTCTGATGCCAGTGTAAAGAATCCCTTACCCCATGCACCCCAGTCTGGACACCTCATGGGCAACTCCTTCAGTAAGTGGTCATATGACCTTTACAGGGTTCTGAACTTGGTGAGTGTCTTAGCTTAAATGCCATTCCAAGAGGCAGGGGGGGAAGGGGAATGAGGCCAAAACTACCTACAGCAGCCCAAGGCCAGGTTATGGGGAGCCCCTCAACAACAAGCCAGCACCCACGAGAGTTAAACAAAATATGAATTAGATTAATGTTGGTTTATGTTAATAATGTATTGTCAAACTTCACATTTTACAGTACATTATTTATATTTATGCACAGGTAATTAAAATTTTGGATTTGAAAAATAAAAATTCTTAAAAGATCCTAATACCTGAAGTGCTGTTATCACACGATGACTTAGGATTTGTGCCACTTTTTAAATACTGATGTGACCCATATGGTTCCAACAGCTCAATAGAACCTCCCAGCAGTCATGGGGAGCCACAAAATCATTTATTTGCTAGCCACATCTAAATAATCTTGAATAAAGAAACTTACAGTACTTTTATTGTGGATAGAGCCAGGCTTCAATGTACAGTACTGTGGGAAATAGATTTAGCAACTACTTGGGCCAAGAATTGATATGGTAACCTCAGCTTATGACTGTAGTATGGTACTGTATATAGCAGCTATATTATTTATATCCTAATTGTGATGTTACTCATAAAACATTAAATATTTTATAAAATTATAAATTTTATAACAAATATTTTGATAAGGCAGTAGCTCTCCATGCCAAGCATCATACTTACATCGGCAACGTCCACGGGCTGGTAGTATTGGTACGGGAAGACAGGAAGTCGTTAGTAAATACACACAAGTAAACAAGGGACAACACCACCACCACTATTATAAAGAACAAAAAATTGGCAATTGGAAGCCTAAGAACTAAAGCAAGTGACACATGGAAACCAAGACTCTTGACAAATTAGTAGTGCAATAATTATCACACACAGGAAGCAGCATGAATGGTAGAAGCATAATGTAAATAAATTACATAAATACACTAAAAAGAGTTACATCATGAAATAAGCATTTTTTAAAATTTAAGTGCTCTAATAATCCTTCCAGATAAATCTTTACTCAAATTGTTTGCACTCATTACACATACACAAGTAAACATCTGCAGAAACACATCTATCAAAGCACACACAAAATGACCCATCCAGCATTCACATGGTTAATTGTATTCTCCTATATTAAACATATTTTATACACCTAAATGACTGATAAAATGGTAGTGCTATCTGAAATTTTAAAAAGTATTCTCCAAAAAGTTATTTTATCTTGATAAAATCAAAATCTATCTGATGACAGAAGTGAAAACTAAAATTCTTGTACTGAATAACAAAAATAATTATACAGTACTGCTATTTTAAATAAAAGTGGCTACCTCACAGGAAAGTTGTTAATGTGTCTGCTACCATACTCTCTAAACTAAATCAACCAACCTTTATCACGTATCAAAGCAGCTAATGCTAATTACAGTAGTATATTGCAAACCATAAACTCTTAACACTTGAATTTGTCTTGGTATTGTACATCGAGCCTAGTTACTACTTGCCATAAGGAATGTATCAGATCTTCCCTCATACCAATGACCAGATTTTCCCAGTTGAAGCTTTGAAAGAGGACAACTTTATCAACCCTAGTGGAGCAGTCTTGAGATGTATACAGCATTAAATTACTTAATATAAGATTTCTCTTGATCTCTTACAGACTGACAAAGCCAAGGTGGTTCAAACTGTAAACTTATCCACAACGTCACCACAGTTCAAGATGTCATTAATATTAAAAATAACATCCACACTATGTTTTTTAAACCCTACCGAAGTACTCTTGGGTGTTTAAATACCCCCAAAATTTGTACTGTATATTCATATTTCAGTAAGAAACAATGATATATCTATTACAGTATTTTTAGTACCTTCCTGAATCACCAAGTGTCATAAGCACCAAAGTTCCAGCTATCGTAACCTAGCTCGCGTAAGAGGCTGAATCATTTTCTTCCTCTAAGGGTGTACAGTCACCCCACAGCAAACATTGTAGGTACATTGAAGGTCAACACAATTAAATTAGTTTGTTAATGATGCATTTGCCAAATTACCATTCGTGTTTGTTTCATCATCTCAAAAGTACTCTAAAAAAATTGTTTTATGTAACAATGGGTCATGCACAATACAAAATATAAAATCACTATCAGATTCTATATACAGTATATATACAGTATATTAGAAAAAGAATACAGACCCTCAAAAAATTATTAGACAAGATACAGTAGTGGAAAATCAATATAAATTTATGCTAAATTACATAAATGGCTATCAAGTGTTTTTTGTCCCCCTGGAAATTATAAACTTCAGAGGAGTACTAACAAAGTCTGGACACCCAAGGGCACTAACTGAATAGCTCAATTTCTAAAGATGAATTTCAATTTCTCATAAGTCCTTAAAATTTAACAAAATATCCTTGGTACAGTACATGAAATGCTAAAATTACTAGCCCAGCTAAGCAATTAACAACTAAAGCAATTGGGAAGCAATACAGTATCATTAAAGCTTAACATTTATATAACAGTAAGCAAGCACTATAATTATCAAACTATTGTGTACCTAGCAAATAAGTGGTTGAAGAAAAATGATTCACGAGAGCTGTGGGAAAGCTCTTAGCCTGCAAGCAAGAGGTAGACAAATTGTCACCTTTATACTACACTCTTGTGTAAACAACAAAAACAATGATACATCTACCACACCAAGTAATGGGTCTAAACTTGTGATCCGTGCACAGGAGGTCCACAGTACAGTAGAACCAGCTGTATTGTATTACTACTGTATGGCTAAACTAATATTTACTTAAAATGTCCACTAAACTTAAAACCTGAAATATTAAATACTCACTCTCTGCATGTATGTGTACCTGCCTTTTTGTGCCTGCAGAATCAAACTTCAGCTCATGGATCCCACCTTTCTAGCTGCTGGTTGTCTAATACAATGACCCCCTGACCTAATTTTCTCATCAAACCTACTTTTGAAATTATAAATCAAGTTTTCTTTTACAACCTGGTCATATACTTTATTCTAATTTCCCTTCTACTCTTATGCTACAAAAAGTCTAATGTCAGTTTTGCTAATCTGTATTTCAACCTTCCATATAGGCCCTCTGGTTCTATCAGTATACATTGTCAACACCATTTCTTTCTACTCTGTCAATCCTTTAAGTATTTTATAAGTGCATTATGTGTGTCTCTCTCTCTGTCTCTTGTTGTGTGTGAAAGGAAATTCCATCCAAATACTTTCACCTGATGAATGAGATCTGCCCTGTCATGCCTGGTTTGCAGTGTTGTTAGCCCTGTGGCCCTCAACCGTTCCTGATACAAGTATGCACTGTATGAGCTTACGTACCCCGCCCTCCTCCTCTACAGATAAAAATCTCCCTTCCCTTTCACTCCACACACACACACTCGGGCTGGACGGCAGAGCAACTGTCTCGCTTCATGCAGGTCGGCGTTCAATCCCTGACTGTCAAAGTGGTTGGGCACCATTCCTTCCTCCCCGTCCCATCCCAAATCCTTATCCTGACCCCTTCCAAGTGCTACAGTTATAATGGCTTGGCACTTTCTCCTGATAGTTCCTTTCCCTTCCCTTCTCTCTCACACACATACTCACTCTTGCACATACACTCGTAATCACAGCTTAAATGCAAAGTATGCTTGAATTACAACCACAGACGTATTACTACCTAAAATGGCCCACATACAAAGTACTGTACAACACACAATATCAGGTGCTCTTAGCCGAGACACCTACTACACTCACTGCATGGACATCCTTGTTCTTGGCACGTGCTCGATCCAAGTTTTTATTTGCTTGTTCATAGTTTGCAAGACATCGAAGCCGACGATATAAGAGGTCCTTCGCTGCACTCCCGTCTCTAACATAGTATCGAAGGGTATCTGAAAGCTTCAAATCTTCGTCTGATGCTACTCTGCCTTCAACTTTCTGTATGAAAATTAAGAAGTGCATATGCTAAAACTGTAATAAATATTTAATAGTTTAGCTTCACAATGTCACCAGTTCATTTATACCATATAGTCTAGAAAATATTTCATTAAGTTTTACCAGTTTTAATTCTGCTGTAAAATATTCATACTTACCCTAGCCTTTTCAAAAGTATCAGCAACCTTGTTAATAAATTTTTCTAGTCTAGGGCCCTCAATAGTTCCAAGTTGTGATAAGCCAGTTGAGAGTTTGATGTACGAGTCAGCCACATCTGCCGGCAAGTTGCTCAAAAGTTAATGCATGCCGACAATGATGTCAAGTGACCTCTAATACACAAATTTTCATCTGAACTTTATTCCCCCCAACAATATTTTCAACACCATGTTCACATTTTCAGTTCAATAGGATGGGGAATTCTTCAGAAATAAAGAACAAGAAATATTCTGTAGCTGCCATTGAGCTGTATACCCTAACAAGAAAACTTAGTTTTATGATCACAAATAACTGCTGTAGGTTTACATTAATATGATGAGGCTTCCTGAATGCATCAGTTACATACAATAAATAACAAAATATTACTATGGAGCTACATTGCTAAATTTGAATAGGAACACTTTTGTTCCAACTTATAATGATGCACTGCATGCCAAAACTGTTGTAAGAAAAATATACGACAATCGTAAGGTATTCCTACTAGAATATCTAATTCACATAAATCTGTTCTAAAATAATGCATGTTTGTTTAGTTTTGTGAACTCACTTTTGTGTGTCTGTGTCATCTTGTCAGCTTTTATGGTTGCATCCTTGATGGCTGTGTGGTACTCAAGGAGGAAACCTTTCTCCTTCTCAAAGTAATCATCCACATCCTTCTGGGTGGCTGACAACAGGATCTCATCTGTTGACTTGTTGAAACTCTTGAAAAGTCCTTCAACTTTTTCTTTCTTGTTCTTTGTTCTCACTGACAACTGAAGGTTTAGAGAAGCATTTTTTGCTACTGAGTATCAACAGACAATTTCTGTATTACAAAACTAATCAATTTAAAGATTACATAATTACATTAAAAGGAAAATATTTATGTATCTACTACCTGTTTTCTACTACTGTACTAATAATGTTTTCTTAGATAATACCAGTACAACACACATGGCACCCATTCAGATAATGCCAGTACAACACACATGGCACCCATTCAGTAACGCAGCATCACAGGAAAAAAAACAAAAATACACATCTTCTACTGTTAGAAAGATGTCTCTGAAGATGTTTCTTGCACAACTGGTGATAAAATATATTTGTTTGAAAAATGCACATAAAATTCAGATAGGAAACTGCAATGTATCCTAAAATAATGCCTAAGTCTAATACCTGATATGTTATCTATGATAATTAGCAAGTTAACTGGAGCTTTCATTTATAATTGCTTTCCAATTTGCATTCAAATTCTGTCTTTCCTTTCAATTGACAGAATTATCCCAAATATTTTAACTCTGATTTGAACTTACATCTTGTTCATATTCGAGGAAGACCTTGAAGTTGTGATCAGTCCTAAAGACAGGATGCTGAGCTAGTCTGGTGAGGAAGACTTCATGCATGGCTACCGTCTTCTTGAAGGTTGCCAGGTACTCACTGAGGACAAAAACTTATTATAAACCTCAGTGCATTTCTGCTTTTACCATAATTATTAAACATTACAGAATGTGTGTAATTACTTAATTGTACTCCAATTAATTGGTGTGCAGTTTGCTGAAAATTGGCCACCACAGATGGATGGCTAATTTTCTGCAAACTGCACATCACAGCTTGGGCTGTATTTCCTGTACATTGAAAGATTTAGAACTCCTGTGGGTACGTGGGGCTCACATCTGCTATCTTAGATCTCCAGTAAATAGATGCTATTTTGAGAAAAAATCATGGACACCATTCCTGGATGTGAAGACATTAGTACTGAATAAGCAACCAAGGGTGGCACATGCAGCACGAGCTAGCAGCACCACTGCTCAATTGTGTCCATGGCATCGCTTAAAACTGATGAAATACGTAACTGCTATAATTTTCTGACAATAGTATTAAATAACATTTTGACTATAATAAAGACTATGTGCCATGATCAGATCCATTAGTGAACACAATGCTCTTGATGTTCACAGCATGATGCAGACAACCACAGCACACTACCATTGTTTGGGGCATCTAAGCATCATTAATTACCACATTCTCCTTTATAAAATAAACTTTGTACAAAATTATTCATATTTAGGATTTACTGACCAGAATGCTGCTGATGATAATAGCAACAATGTGCCTAGAGTAGTGACAGGCATATTATATTGGAGGCATTATACAGAGTCAGGTAGTGAGACAGATGGTGTCGTGTCAGTTGACTACCGTGTTGATGCTATACCGTGTGTGTGTGGGGGGAACCATCAAACCAGCTTAATGGTACATTATAGTACACAAAAATGCAGATAGTTATATATATATATATAAATGGTGTATATGCAGTGTAATAATAGCAAAAGTACTGTTTTCTTGTTCTAAGACTATAATAATCATGTCACTAATATAATTGCCATATCTTTGTGTATATAAATTTATCAAATTATGCACTACTGTACTGTTATCAGAATGTTGATAATAGCAGCAACATTGTGCCTAAAACTAGCAATGTGCATAGTATACTATGATGCATTTTGCATTGTCTGCTGGACGAGGACGAGAGCTACGCTCGTGGTGTCCCGTCTTCCCAGTACCCTTTGTCATATAACGCTTTGAAACTACTGTCAGTTTTGGCCTCCACCACCTTCTCACTTACCTTGTTCCAACCGTCTACTACTCTGTTTGCCAAAGAAAACTTTCTAATATTTTTTCTGCACCTTTTGATTTCTTAACTTGAATCTGTGTCTTCTTGTTCGTGAAGGTGCTGGTTTCAGGAATTCCTCGGTGTGGTATTATGCTGTCCTTGGATTTCATTATCATACCCTCCAAAATAGCTCAGTGGTTCATAATCATGCATGAAAATGTACAGTTAAATATAAAGTATGTTTACAGTAAAATATCACCAAAAATAGAAATATTTTCTTGTCCTTTAGCAAATAACTTGTAAGCATTACTATTGCTAAATAAGCATTGTAAGACAGCATCACTGACAACTAGAAAAGCACAATGAAACATTCAGCATTAAGACAAATAAAAATAAAAAACAGTAACAAATATAAACAAAACGGACAAATCAAACAGTACCGTAAGAAATAACACACTAATGAGAGATTGACTAAATAAAAGCAAGAAAAAAGCAGGCAGGAATAATAGCGTTCTTGTAGATCCAAAACAAGAGTACATATGTCAACAGCTGACACATGCTGACAAACTATAGTATTTCTTATAACCAAATGGTAAAAATCTTAAGAAAATTTTGTTCATAAATACGTACAGGATGGAAATACATTGTGTATATAGCTGTACCAATTTGAAATTATTTAGAATAAAAAATCAGTTTACTGATTAGACAATTATACTAAGTGTCATTTATAACCTTTATCTTCTATACAAGACTGAGTTATAGCTTTCAAATGATTACAAAATAATTTTTAATATAATTTGCAGAAAATACTTCTAAAACTCTTCTTTTAATCACAAATAAATACTTATCAATATATATTTTTAGTATTGCCATAATTCTTGCAACCACCCAGCAGCAACGTGACAGCTGAAAAGTAATACAAAAACCCCACACACACCTGATATTGGTTTACAGTAAAGAGAGGGGAAAAAAGAAACTCACTATTTGAGTTCCTCCTTCATGATGGCGAGCACATCTTGAGATATGACGGGGCCCTTCCCATCCCTATGTTTGGCTACTTCCCCTCGCCTTCTGATGCGGCCCATCAGACTCAAAAGCCACCTTTGTACACAACAGTTCTCATATATAGCAACTCCAAGCATTACAGCAAAGGCACATGAAAGAGCAAGAATAATAAAGGCACCATTGCTCAAATACAAGAATATACCATTTTGATCTCTTCAGGGTCCATCCAAAATATTTTATAAATTGCCTATGAACAAGCAGACAACCCAGCTAAACAGCATTTAGATATGCAGTTCTTCACTTTATAAGAAGAATGGAACTGGAATTTATTAAAAATCTGGCCAGTGCCTGGAATGAGCGTGTAGATGTAGTGATGTAGAAAATATTGCTGCCTTGTGTAATGGGATGAAATCTGGGTTTGTACCAGCAGACATGAGATTCATTCTGCATTAACAAAATAACGGACTGCATCTAGAAATAACTGAATAAAGCAGAGTGGAAAGTGAGAGGTGTGCACATTTGAAGGATGTGCGGAAGATGTAGTACTGTAGTTGAACAATAACATGGACTGACCAGGAAGTGGACTTGAAGGCCAATGAAGAGAAGAGCAGAGGGGAGGAAGAGAGGAGGGTATAAATGGAAAGAGGGGGATCAGAGAAGGGAGGGAGAGAGGGAGGTAGGAAGGAGGGGGGCAGGAAAGGAGCAGATTTTAGTGGGATTGCAGCACCTGGCCAAAGAGTGCCTGGCTGAGTTATTTCACCACTGTCATTTATGAGGAAGCACTGATCTCGAGGCTTCTTGATGATCATTGCCACAGTAAAAACTGTCTAACCATGATGCTCCTGACTACCACCAGGTAACAGCCCAGGTCACCTGGAGGCCAGTGCTTAGCTTGGGGAGCTACTGAGGTGGCCCTCTCGTAAAGATTGCTATGAAGAAGTTATTCACGTTTCAGGTCAATGTGATGAAGCATTCTCCAGATACCAAATTGAAGCCTCATAATATGAACCTAAGAAAGTATCCCTACTAGGAAATACCTAACAAACAAAGGAAGAACTGTGCAATAGTCAATAATTCAGGGGTAATATTCAAGGAGGATTCTAAAAGACTTTACAAAAAATAGTTGAAAAGATACAGGTTTTCTCACCAATCCTGTTAATCAGGAGTTTGTCTGAACAAGATGAGAACAATGTTCACAGGTGACACCTAAATATAAGGGCTAGTACTGTCAGAGCAGAGATAACATTAATGAAGAAAAACTAATATTTTCTAAGGACAGTATCACAGACAGCAGGCACGGCCAGCAAGCGGAAGAATAGTATTACTCTTCATTGTCTATACAGCATACAGTATATCTTTGATGCCATCCTCCCTCTAGATAATCGCTCATGAGATGGCTTCACACAATCTCGCTTAGAAATCTTTATTGCAACAGGTGTTAAGACACCTAAAGGAGCATTCAATCCTTTAGCTTATGCTTTCTCACATGCTGGTTTAACTATCACGCTAGTGAAGCCGTTCCCACTTGTGATAAACGACAAATCACATGCAGTAATTTAAAAATACATGCTATGATATGATTTACAAATGATGCATCTACAAATCAGCTATATGCAACATGGAGAACAGGTATGCAATATGCAAGGTTTCTACAAAATTTACTATGTAAGAATTCTCTACATAATGAAACATTCCCGAGAACAGATAAGTCCCAGTACATACGCCTCCAGCTCCTGTTTCATCTTGCTGAACTCTTCTTTAGTCATGCTGCCTTCTCCCTCTCCCAATTTTTGGAGTTTTTCCCGCGATGCATCGAAGTCGGGACGAGGCGGTGGTGGAGGGATCTAATGGGAAGTATGGAAATTCTGTACCTTATCAACTTGTAGCTTATGCATTAATACTTTTATCTACCTTTATAACACACTACTTTTATGTATAAACTGTAAAGTTAGGTGGCACTTACACAATTTGTCTTAAACAATCTAATTTCTTATCATCACCAGATTTCTAGCAAGGATTTAAACCCCCCTAACTGTGCATCCTAAATTATGTTGATTTCCTGGTACATATAAACAAATTATATATTTCTTTTTTATAAACATTGTTGTTTAATCCTTAAGCTGCTAAAGAGTCCTGAGGAGATTTACACCCCTGTGCACAAGAAAAAAAAATCTAAAAAATTATTTTGTCTTTTGAAAATGTTAATTTGTGTTCCCTGAGCACGGGGAAAAAAAAAATCGTAGGCGACATATTTTGGGTGCAATAGGCCGAGGAAGTCTGGCAAAATGTGGGCGTCGACAGAGCGGTCATCAGAGCTGGTCAGCCTCACCCGAGCTGGTCAGCGTCACCCGAGCTGACAGGTAGGAGTTGCCACAAAGATATTATTACCTAATTATTTCAATGTCTCTGATTTTTTCTTAGTTTTTTGCAGTAATATTATTCAATAGAGTGCATTATGATATATTTATATAATAAAAGGGGTGAATCATTGCTATACTCAAAAGTATGGTATGCATATTAGTGATACAATTATTATGTTCATACAACAATAAACAAATAGTTTTGCTGTTATTACACTCTATACACAGGTTATATATAAGTATCTGCATGTTTTGTTCACAATAACAAACCACTAAGTTGGTATTGTGAGTCGAAAAGCAACAAGGAGTGACTGCCACACACCAGCCAGCCACTTGTTACAACACCTCACTCGTCCACTTTCTCCTCCCACCATCCTGTTTTTTATTTTATTCACTATATACATACGTTATATATAAGTATCTACATGTTTTGTTCAACACAACTGTACAACTAAGCTGATATAGTTCAGACACTAAGAGTCGTTGCCACACACAGTCAGCTGGCGGCTGCCTCCCTCACACATTCAAGGTCACACGTACTAAATTTCTCCCCAACAATACTGTTTGCAGTGTTATTACACTATATACACACATTATATATAAGTATCTACATGTTGTATGCACTGTAACTGTACACCTAAGCTTGTAGGGTGCTCAAAGAGCATAGTGGCCACCCTCTACACAGCTAGACAATTCATGCAGACGACGCCACCTCCGTCACCCAAATGGCTCCTCCCAACATAATCCTTTTGCTATTATTACACTAATACACACATTATATATAGGTATTTACATTTGTGTTCACCGTATAGAACCATTGAGCTGGTATGGTGAATGCAGACAATAACAGGTGGCCACACAGTCAGTAAATGATGCTATCTCCCTCCCTCCCTCAGCATTACTCCTCCCACAGCGCTAATTATCACAACAATCCTGCTGTTATCACAATTCTGGTAATTTTTATTACAGCCAGGGGTCATCTATAATACAGTACTGTCATCGCTAAATAATAGCAGTTATATATTTACTTTGACATTTTTTGGCGATGCTGTGGTCACAAGCTGAACAGCAATGCTGTTCGCTCATGCTGCGTGCCTAGCCTTGGTTGTTCCAACAGTACTGTGGCTCTCACACCGGAGAATATTGCCCACAATTTTAAAAAAAAGATGGCGTCTGTTAACAAGAGCCCTGAGGAAGCTAATGTGAACCCCATGTAGCCGCGGGCCATTTGAATCGTGCCTAGCACCCTATGGCGTATATATACGCCATGCGCACAGTGGGACATGTTACTCATGGCGTATATATACGCCATGCGCAGTTTAAGGGTTAATATCAGGAATAATAATAAATTCTAATAATTTTAGTTTGTAGTGAGATGAAGACATGTTAACATCATATTCTGAGGGATAATTTCAAGTTAACTACAGTATACCAGTACCTGAAATACTCTCTTATCGCCAATATCTTCCAAGTCCATAAAAGTTTTTGAAATTTTGCATGGCATCAAAAGTTCCTAGCAATGATATCAGCAAAATATTTTGGTTTAGGGATATTTCTGCATGGATCCTAAGCCTCTGGCTGGCCCACTAAGTATTACTTGTTTCTCATTTCTGTCTTACTTAAGAAGCGTACGAGTATTTATGACTCGAATGGTCTCTTTAGTATGATTATGTACTGTGTGCTTAACAACAACTGGTCTGTTAAATCTCAGTTGAAATCTTATTTGGTTTGTAACTGTGCACTGTGTTAGATAATGTTCCAGTAGTCTGTCAGGCATTTCTCCACAATGCTGATATTACTTCTCATCTTCTGGAATCTACAAGCCTATTTCATCATGCACATGGGCATCCAAGACTGATGCACTGTAAGTGTACTTAGGTTTTCTATTGTTACCTTTCATCAAAATAAGTTGTTCGTAGTTGGTTGAACTCTTGTACCACCCGCAGATCCTGATGTTACAGCTACTGTGTTGTGGTCACTGTACATCTGCATTCCTCTATCTCTATTTATTTCTTTAATCTGTCTTAGACTCTGTGATATGTAAATGTCTACATTTCTTCTCTTAGTTGCAAATTTTGCAGCTTCATCTGCAATGTCATTCCCTATTATTAACACATGACTTGGCACCCAGTTGATAAGTACCCAATGACCTTGAGTTTTTTTTTTTTTTTTTTTTTTTTTTGAGATATATACAAGAGTTATTACATTCTTGTACAGCCACTAGTACGCGTAGCGTTTCGGGCAAGTCCTTAATCCTATGGTCCCTGGAATACGATCCCCTGCCGCGAAGAATCGTTTTTTCATCCAAGTACACATTTTACTGTTGCGTTAAACAGAGGCTACAGTTAAGGAATTGCGCCCAGTAAATCCTCCCCGGCCAGGATACGAACCCATGACATAGCGCTCGCGGAACGCCAGGCGAGTGTCTTACCACTACACCACGGAGACTGTTTGCATTAATACCATGTCATTTATGGTTAGATGGCTGTTGCCACGTAAGTGTTCTTGTTGCAAGGTTTCAGTTGCAGTTCTCGAATCTTTATATATGATAACACGCTATAGTAAATGACATGGTGCCCATCTTTTAACTAAGGCCTTAGGTTTAACTAAACTTAAGGATCTCAGGATTTAAGTTTTAAATACAGGTATAGGAAACCATTACCAGAGGTTTCTAGTGTCAAATGCCATCCACATAGAATCTCTAGGACTTAGGATGTGCTTTGTAATATTCAAATCTCCTACAGGTGATAAGTGGGAGTCTATATCAAGTCTGTTTATCACTTGTGGGAGATGGAAGCCGTGCAAGAGTGAAAAATACTTTAAATACAAGTTTTTCTTATTCACATTTCAACAACTTAAAATATTTAGGTGAAATTATAACCAACAAAACATTTTTCACCTTTCTTCCCCTCTGTTTGCACCATAACAAATTTTTCATAATTTCCTCATAAGCTACAGTATTAAACATTTAAACACTAAACAACTTACAATATAACCTGCATAGTCCTCATTTTCGTCAAAACGGTCATGTAGCCAAATGAACTCTTCATGTTGCCTAACTACCGAGAACTCTGGCTTGCTGTACTCAGGAAGGGTAGTCTGAAAGCATAAAACACACTTAATTCACTAATGCCTTTATAAAATACAAAATCTTTCTCAGTGCTACAACAACAAAATTATTATACTAACTTTAGATACACCAGGGAAAGTATTTTAAAGTAGATGCCTGACCTCTATGGATTACAAGCTGCAACTGGTGTTGCAGAAGGAAAAATTAAGTACAGCAACGGCAAGTGAATGAAGTTATTAACATAAAATAACCTGACAGCTGAGTGTGGTGGGGGATGCCACAAATACATTTTTACATAATTATTTCAATGTCTTTGAATGCTTTTATATCTAGTTTTTTTTTGCTGTAATATTATTTAATAGTGTGTAATCTAAGGAATTTATATACTGTAGTTAGATGTGTGGAACATCGCTATACTGTACTCAAAAATATGGTGCTTTGATTGATTGGATCAATCAAACTGTTTTTGCCATTATTACACTATATATACACACACACATTATATAACTACCTGTATCTACAGTTTTGTTCACCATAAAAACCACTAAGCTGGTCGGGTGAGTCCAAACAGCATAGCGTTACCACACAGAAGTCAGCTAACAACACTACCTTACTCAACAAGATTCCTCCTCCCACCATACTGTGAACATCACTAATTCTGCTATTATCAGAATTCTATTCACTAAATCCTGTAAATTAATATTTTCCACAAGTTTATTTTGTAAAGGAAATTGAGCAGTCATTTCAAGATGCTTAGATGATGAACCAAAGAGATGAACCAAACAATGGCAGTGTGCTGTGGCTGCATGCCAAGCACTCTGAACACCATGACCAGCATTGTCTTCACTGATATCTGAACATTGTACACAATCTTTATCAGTCAGGCTCTTCTATAATACTATCATAGAAAAATAATAGCAGTTACATATATATTTTGTCATTTTTAAGCAATGCTGTGGTCATAAGCTGATTAGCAGTGCTGTTAGCTCCTGCAACATGCACAAGCCCTGGTTGCTCACTCGGTACAGTACCGAGACCTTCACACCCAGGAATGGCGGCCATGATTTTTTTTTAAATGTTGTCCGTTTACCGAAGCCCTGAGAAACCCAATGTGAACCCCCATGTACCCACTGAGTTTTTAAATCGTGTGCAATACTGTACTCTACAACAAATATACAGTAGACTATATAATATGCACCCTCCAGTCAGTTAAGACCAAAATCATATATGATTTGTGCCTTGGAAGGGTTAAACAACAGAGCACAGCTTTTTCCAACCATAATTTACAACCCTTTTGGTGACCACCTGATATCTAGCATCAAGTCTGCTCTATGATTACTTTAACCATCATCTCAAGTTTCAGGGAAATGTATTTAACCTACAAAAGTCCTAGTGCCTTATTCTCATTGTGTTACAGAATGACCTGGCTCCGTCACTAGGTTGGCAGACAATATTGCCTAGAGCAGTATTAAATGTTCCAGATTATTCTATACCTTTGGAGGAAGTCTCTCAACAGTAGTTCCCTGTAAATAAATTATATAATTTTACCAACATTTAACAAATTTCAAAAAGGCATTCAAAAAAAGGTCACAATCCTGGAGCTTACTTTTGTATGGACGGTAAACTTGACTTTTTCTCTTTCACTCAAGGCATCAGAAATATCCACTTGCAGTGAGCTGTCATTGAGATCCACTGTGTCAGATCTCCCACTCTGAAATAAACATATAGTACTAGTATTAACGTGTAAATATAAACATTTATATTATTAATATTATTAAATATTATATATATTATTAAAATAGAAACCCCATTACTGGAGGAAACCTAGCAACAATTTTGCTAGGCTAACTTAGCCTAATTAAATACTGTATTTCCTCTTGGTCTGGGCTGATTTAGCATCCCCCAGCTCCTTGTGCCTCCTAGTAAAACAGATACTGTCTTTGGTCTCCAGAAAGCACTTATGACTCGCAAGGGCCTGGCTGTGCACCATACGTGTAGAACTATCGAGGTGATTAATGCCAGCTAGCCACCAAGGGGTTCTTCCCAGAAAAAAATTGCCAGTTTTCCTATATCGATTTTTTTTTGCATAGTATAGTACTCATTTTTTTCAATTACTTCATTAATTATTAAAACAAATTATGTTTTAACACAAGTATTTTATTATATAATTAATCATTATAGCACTCGTGGCAGTGAAAGTCGAACAAGAAAACATTAACATACACACATTTATATTACAATAAAAAATTCATCAGCAGGCAAGTAAATTTACTCAAATATGCATAATTATATACGGTTGCTTTTACTCATTTCACAGTGAACAATACTGTACAATGTAACACTGTCAAGAAAATCTTGGAAATACAGTACTGTACGTGGAAATGTGAGGATTTGAGGGTGATATTCCAAGTGACTTTTGTGCTATCAAAGTAGGTTACATTTGATTAACACCTGTTGTACCAAGTCCAGGGGTCAATATTTTGACAGCTAGAAGGCCTGGTTGAACATTACAGTATGTGCAAACTTTTCTGAGAACTGTACCTGATCACAGTCGCCATTCACACTCACAAGCCAAAAACTTCTGATGGACGGCAATTGTTTCTTACTGCCAAAGGGTTAAACAAAGAAAATTTGATAATCTCATCTTGAAATTTTTAGCAGCTGAAAGATGCATTGCAGTAGTGTAGCAATACAATCTTTGATAAGGATTTCCAATTAGCCATTAGCCAAGATATCATCTACATGATGTCACATTATGCAATTCCATGTTACACCCTCTGAACTGCATGTTTGGGTATTTATTGTCCACTACTGCTGCTAGTGAAGCATTCCACTGAACCACATTTTGTAAAACCTATTAAAAAAATTGTCTCTTTCACTGCTTTACCTTTTGGCTCCAATATTTGACTATTAAGAGAAAATACCGAGACAATGTGATGGATCAAATGTATCCCTAGACATCACACTGACTCAATATTTTCTCATACATACATAAGTAAGCGTGATTTAATTGCGCATTTGAATGTATTCACGAGATTCATAACTAGTTTAATGTTTCAGTGAATTAAATTAAATACCACAGAGTTGAGTTTGTATCTTGAGACAAGTTATGCCTGGGTGTGAATGGAAATTTACTGTAGATATTCTATCCCTGGTTACAAGAAATTGGTTTAATTATTATTTACCTGATGGTGACAGTGGATGGGAATGTTTACAACCCATCCGCAAAAAGCCTAAATTAATTCCATGCATCAGTCATTTCGTATGTTTATGAATCAAATACCTGTACTTTAAAATGACTAACTAATGTGATTTGAGTTTTGTTTTCAAAAATAGCTTCCCTTACTTCCGATATTTGGAGTACATATGCCAAAACAATCCACACTTCTGAAATCAATTCATGCAACTAAAGGGTTAAATTTTATTATCTCCAAAACTACAAAAGATACTAACATGTAGCCTGTATGTTCTACCTCATATCTTCTCTACAACTTCTCTACATTTTATAAAGTCCAAACAGAAAATTATCACACCTACTTTTGGGTAGGATTCATAACTACATATCTTTTAAAATGGTCCATTTTTCTAAGAAATGCAGAACAGTGCCAGAGCAATTTTTGAGGAGCCTACCATAAATGATGTGTCCTTAATGACTGACTTGCTTTCTTTACAAGTGTATCATGTAAAACTATACCCATAGGAACATTTAATATTGTATAATTACAAAATTCCTTTTAAATAAATCAATGACTTAATTATCAGCAACTAAAATCCCAGGCAGGACAGAAACAGTTGGAAACTTTTCCTATAACCTAATGCGCCTGTTCACCTAGCTGTAAGTAGGTATCCAGGAATTAGTCAGCATATTGTGGGATTGCATTCTGGGAAGGATCAGTAATTTGACATTCAGGGAAAGGGGGGGAAAGGGGACCTTCAATATAAGACTTTATATTAATTTTAAGAATATTTATTTATATTATATTATATTTTAAGAAAATATATATATATATATATATATATATATATGTCGTACCTAGTAGCCAGAACGCACTTCTCGGCCTACAATGCAAGGCCCGATTTGCCTAATAAGCCAAGTTTTCCTGAATTAATATATTTTCTCTAAATTTTTTCTTATGAAATGATAAAGCTACCCATTTCATTATGTATGAGGTCAATTTTTTTTTATTGGAGTTAAAATTAACGTAGATATATGACCGAACCTAACCAACCCTACCTAACCTAACCTAACCTATCTTTATAGGTTAGGTTAGGTTAGGTAGCCGAAAAAGTGAGGTTAGGTTAGGTTAGGTAGGTTAGGTAGTCGAAAAACAATTAATTCATGAAAACTTGGCTTATTAGGCAAATCGGGCCTTGCATTGTAGGCCGAGAAGTGCGTTCTGGCTACTAGGTACGACATATATACATATATATATATATATATGTCGTACCTAGTAGCCAGAACTCACTTCTCAGCCTACTATCCAAGGCCCGATTTGCCTAATAAGCCAAGTTTTCCTGAATTAATATATTTTCTCTAATTTTTTTCTTATGAAATAATAAAGCTACCCATTTCATTATGTATGAGGTAAATTTTTTTTTATTGGAGTTAAAATTAACGTAGATATATGATCGAACCTAACCAACCCTACCTAACCTAACCTAACCTATCTTTATAAGTTAGGTTTGGTTAGGTAACCGAAAAAGTTAGGTTAGGTTAGGTTAGGTAGTCAAAAAACAATTAATTCATGAAAACTTGGCTTATTAGGCAAATCAGGCCTTGCATAGTAGGCTGAGAAGTGCGTTCTGGCTACTAGGTACGACATATATATATATATATATATATATATATATATATATATAATGTTGTACCTAGTAGCCAGAATGCACTTCTCGGCCTACTATGCCAGGCCTGATTTGCCTAATAGGCCTAGTGATTTTCTTTATTTTCAATAAATTGTTTCCAATTAGATTATTGGAATTATTATTATTATATAATATTAGGAACATAATTTATTGACTTAGTTGTGTTAGTTTAGGTTAGGTTAAGATAGTTTAGGTTAGGTTAAGATAGGTTAGGTAGGGTTGGTTAGGTTCGGTCATATACCTACGTTAGTTTGAACTCAAATTTAAACAAACTCATGCATAATGAAATGGACAGATTTATCATTTCATGAGAAAAAAATTTGAAAAATATATAAATTCAGGAAAACTTGGCCTATTAGGCAAATCGGGCCTTGCATAGTAGGCTGAGTAGGACATTCTGGCTACTAGGTACAACATATATATATATATATATATATATATAATTACTGTACATACATACATACACATACATACATACATACATACATACATACATACATACATACATACATACATACATACCCACTGGCTGCCTGTCTATCAATGCAATGAATTGTAGTTAATTAATAACATCAATCATGGTGGAAAAATGACAATTTGTGGGTTAATTTTCAGAAACGAAAATGCTTTACTTTGGGGAAAGACAGCAATTTTATATACCATATCAATAATACAGTTGTGAGTAGATCAAATCGTGAGATTTGGAAGTCATGGTTAGGACCAAGCTGAGGTCGAGACAGCACTGCATCACTACACAAAATAAATGAAACAGAGATTTATAAGCATCACACCTTCAGCAACAAGCAGTATGAATATTATCCTTCAGCTATATCTAGGAATGGTGAGGCCTCGCTTCAGAATTGCACAGCAGTCTGCCGCCACACTACAGAGTGGACAGATTATAGAAATTACAGACAGCGGACAAGGCTGATACCTACAAAGACAAACTGATATGAACTCAGAGAAGACGCACATGACAAGGGGAGGATATAATTGAGATTTTCAACTGGATTAGGGGCATAAATAAGGTGATATAAACAAGGGTTCTGAAACTGTTAAACAGGTCAAAATCTGCAGCAATGGGAACAACCTGGCAAAATTTTGATTTAGAAAGTATATTGGGGAATGATGTTTGGGAACAATTGCAAATGAGCAGAATGCATTACCAATTTAAACTATTGACAGTTTAACAGGTTTCAGGAAGATTGGGTTGGTATGTGGGTGAGATTGGAGAGGACAAGATTTATTGGAACCCAACTAAAATGGGCTATTAATGCTGTGGAGGGAGCCACATTTAAATAACCCAACGGCAGGAGCATTTTCCTCCAGGTTACACCCGACGATGATTGGGAGTGCCACCCCGGGGCCGCATGCCTCTGGCAGAAAAGACCAACCATTCCATGCAGTTGACATCCTGTACTTTCCTGCTAGATTTCTTGGCCTGTATCTACTTGATGGCTGTAACTGGAGGATTCGCCTACCTCTTCTCTTACCCTATATACCTCCGAGGCCTAGACTTGCTTCTGCCTGTACGTCTGAAGACTACAGACTCGAGGAGAGCCTCCGTCATTCCTGTAACTCTTTCGCTCACACGTGGTGAATTCGCCATAACTAACATGGTACAGCTACCGCTAAAGTACTTTTGTAATGCACCTCAATTCTTATGGGAAATTTATCATGCCTGACTATGAGCTGTTAAGAGTAAGTAAATTAATCCAACTTCCAGTTCATTTACAAGTGGGGTGTTGAGCTCAACAGTTTTCCCTACTGAAGGCTCCAGAGGAGTCAAACTCTTAGTGTTTTCCCCAGGATGAGACTCCTTGGGAGTCAAGCCAGTGTCACCAGCAACTGAGGCGCTAGAGGTGTCTAGCCCTCAATGGAGGGGGCTAGATCCGTCCCTGGCTGAGGATCCAGAGGTGTTGAGCCACAATGTTTATCCTGGCTGAGGCTCAAGGGGTGAGGAGCAGAGCTCATGTGACTATCACTTGCTGTCTATCATCCCAACACCCTTTCCCTCTCTCACCTTCGTTCCATTTGTTTCGCTGTGAAGCACCTCTTCCATTCCGTCCTGTAACAAGAGTGGTTGATTTAGCTCGTACAGTGCGAGTTCAGAGCTTAATAACCCAATATATTATGTAATTACAATTGTAATAAGCGGAGAAACGCCTACCATCATGGCTGTGAAATACAATAAGTGACATAACCGCTGCCCATCAAGTGTCAGACGCTGATAGGAGGAGGAGCTCGGGTAAAAGAACATCGCGTTGGTGGTGGCGGCGAGAGGAGAGTGGGGTCGGAGGTGGGGTCTGGGCCTCGGGAGTAGGGTCGGGTCCCACGTCGTGTCCGGCACCGCTCCTGATCCTCCTCACTCGCTCTTCCACCGTAAACAAACCCTCTCACCTTATTTTCACCAGATGATATCAACAAGTACATTGAATTGATACTAATTTCCACTTATGAGACGAATTCGACCATATCACCTTCAATTTCACTTACATAAGATATAGCGAGATATACAAACTTATATTATTAAAACAGGTAAACTAAGTGAGCCTTGCAAGCCGGGTGAAAATAACACACGGTGTAAACAAAAGAGATAAGAAATAGTTATCAACAAATGTTTTGTAGAGAAACAAGTGATTGTGTAGCAGAAACTTTACAAGAAATGAGCAGCGGCATTAGCGTTAAGAAGGTGGAGCACCACGAGCAGCTCGAGCTGTGCCAGACCAGAGCCAAGTACAGGCAGGGCAGGAAGCTGACAGCCGTCAAGGTCTACACTGTCAACGACGAGTCCAAATACCTCATCGTCAACGGTGTTCCGGCCATCAAGATTGGCAGTGAACTTGAGTCGCTGTGTCTGAGATACGGAGACGTCCAAGTGTTAGACATATTGCCCGATTATCCTTGTGAGGAGTACACGGAGGTTTATTTGCTGAAATATCGTAATATTAAGAGTGCCAGGTTTGCCAAGATTCAGTTGGATGGGAAGTCGTATTACGGCGGGGTGTTACACGTGTGTTATGCGCCTGAGCTGGAGACCCTAGAGGAGACGAGAGAGAAGCTCGCAGACAGAAGGAAGACTGTTGCAGCTCTTACTAGGTATAAACAAGACCCGTCTCTGGTAAATCCGTCAAAGAGGAGGAACAGCCAAGTGTTGAGTGGAGCAGCTGGACGGTATCTTGTTCATTTAAAACCAGAATTAAGGAACATAAACCAGGACTTTGTAAATAATTCACCAATAATGGGTGGACCATCAGATGAAGGTAGAACAACAAGCCAAGCTAGTGTCGGTGCCAACTTCAATACATCATGTCCTTCAGAATCTTGTGCCTCCCTACAGCAGCCACCTATTACTTTAATTCCCCGAACAGTTAAAAGGCAAATGAATTTTCCAAGCCCTACAGTACCTAACACCAAAAAAATAAAAGTTTTTGGTAACAAGAATATTCTAGCATATAAATCAAATGGTAAATAATGTAATTGAGATCATATTCTGTAATTAGAGGCAAGAGATTACTATTCAGGTCTTGCCTGAGTACTTGTCAATTCCTCACTTGTTGCAGCTGTCTTTAGCATATCTTATTTTTGTACAACAGTTATGAAATTATTTAGAACCTAGTGTTCAGAGTTTGTATGAACATTTAGGAAAAGTTGCATCAAAATGTTATGAAATAAATATTTATAAAAATATGATACATATATTATGCTTTCTTGAATTCATTACTAGCATTAATACTAGAAATGTGACAAATAAAGATTTCAGCTTATGTTGTGATTAAATTGAATTTACTTGGATAGAGATCACCCTCTCATTGTCACTTTCAACCACATACAAATTTGGTATTTTTAATCATACATTATGAAAAAATTAAGGGAATGTAGGGATTGAAGGTGTCATTAATATAATCAGTGGGTGCTACATTTTGGCTTCATAATATGGTAGTCGGGGACAAGAAGCCCGTTAAGTTTATTGCAACTCAACAGTGGCTAAGCTCTTGGGTACCTTTTTAGTGCTAGGTAAACAGGTGTATCAGCTGCAAGTTAATGTTGCCCAAGCATACTGTCTTGCAGTAATTGAACCTGGGACTTTTTAGCTGCAACCTGCCATTGCTTACCACTGCACCACAGGACCTTTGTAACATCACAAGCACAGTACACGTACTGCACTAGTAATTATCAAAAGGTGGCACCAACCCCAAAATATTATATAGCAATGTCACAGAATATTTACAAGCTCCAAGGTACCCTTCAGGATGCCAGTGTATTGTACGAGGGCAAAAAGATGATCTACATCAAAAGAATTGGGTCCTGTAGCTTAGTGGTCAACATCTTCGGCTCTCAACCAAAGGTTCCAGGTTTAATTCTCATGATAGGACAGAAGGCTATGCACTTTTTCTTTCACCTGATAACTCTTGATAGGTGTAAAAAAGGCAAGTAATTGTTGCGAGTTACATCCTGAGATAGATCAGTAGTTGGCCTAGGGGATCCCTCAGTGAGAGCAACTACTGTTTGTATTCAGTAATCTGAATAACACGGTGGAAGTAAGTAATTATCAAAAAAAAGGCACCAAGCTGGGAAGGCTATGTAGCACCGTCAAATGTGAAGAATAATCAGACAGCGCTAAATGTCACTAAGGATGCCAATATGAGAACGAACACACAAGGTGAATATCAAAAGTATTTGATTCACCAAGATTTCTATCGAGGGAAAAGTGACCGTGAGGGACGGTCAGAAAGCAAGAGACACGCTCGTCCTGGAAGTCAGGACATTCAACAAGGATATGCACGATTAAAAGAATGCAGTTTGGACAATGAGGAGCAGGGTGGTGCTCCATTAAGTGTCCATGAGTTAAGCGTGTGTGGCCAATACGCAACCTTGCCAGAGCCGTTTCCCACCGTCGGTTACAGTGGTAGGAGGAACGCCAAAAGGACACACTACTCTCAAGAGTATGCAGTTTGTTACCAGTAACATAAAGGTTTTCTGTGGATGGTTCCAGATGATATTCCGATGACTAAAATGGGAATTCTCTGGTTATGGGTGCACTTAGTTGCCGATTGCTACAGCAACTGAGGGGCAGACAGTCACATCTATTCGCCTGGAAATGACACACAAGTAACTCATCACACCAAGGAGGGGTACATGCGAGTGTGATTGATCAACCCGTCCTCTTACAAATTACATCACTTTTCACTCGTATGCGCACTCAAGCTTAAAAAAAAAAAAAAAAAAAGTAATTAAAATATAAAATGTTCATGAAAAATGTACTGTCCCATTTTTTGTTCTCGGCCCTCTGGCTTAGGGTGTTAGGTTAACAGGAAACTTTCAATTAACGGCTTTCATGACGTTTTGAAACTTTAGAACTTCCTGCCCTTTTAACTTAACCTACAAGAGGACCCTTAACTTGCTGTTTTGGAAACAAATTTTAAAATTTATTTTCAAAATTATGGCCTTTTCTGGCTGTAACGCATACAGTACGAGCGAAAAGCGACGTAATTTGTAGGAGGACAGGTTGGATTGATTGATTTATTAGATACTGTAGATATAGAGGGATGAAACCATTCAAGTGTTTCTTGCAAAGAAAATAAAATAATTTAGGAAATTTGAAATTAATGTTTAGGTATACTGTACTTAATGTGACACTCAATTATATTTTTTGTACATAGAGGCCTAAATACTAAACCAAATTTAGTTTTGCTCTTCCAAATGTTTGTTTGTGAAAGGTGATTGTCTGGCCTATTTTCATATATTTTTTAATTGGATTAAGTTGCAGTACGATTAATTTCAAGCAGCAATATTTGTTTGCAGAAGATAATAAGAGAAGGGGTAATTTGAGATATATACAAGAGTTGTTACATTCTTGTACAGCCACTAGTACGCGTAGCGTTTCGGGCAAGTCCTTAATCCTATGGTCCCTGGAATACGATCCCCTGCCGCGAAGAATCGTTTTTTCATCCAAGTACACATTTTACTGTTGCGTTAAACAGAGGCTACAGTTAAGGAATTGCGCCCAGTAAATCCTCCCCGGCCAGGATACGAACCCATGACATAGCGCTCGCGGAACGCCAGGCGAGTGTCTTACCACTACACCACGGAGACTGCTGTTACACCACGGAGACTGCTAATTAATTGATGTAAAAAGAGGCAATCAGTGATGAAGCACCAATGGGTTGTAATATAGCAAACAAATGTAGAACTGATGCCAGCACTGGCCCTCATAGATGATAGCAAACATAATATCTTAAAGTTTGCTGCTAATAGTGCTCAACACTGTATGCACATTCATATAATAGTATAATATGTCTGTTGATTATTTGAGGGTGATAAAGGAAATGGACCTTCACTGCAAATGTACAGGTACTTGCAAAATACTTTTTTACATATTGTATTTATACACCTGTGGGATTTTACATATTGTATTTATACTTCTGTTTATACACCTGTAATTTATTAGTAATGAATATATATTTTTTTTTAAAGCAAATGCCATGTGCAGAAATGTGGGATGCTGCAGATGGGTTGTTAATTATCCTCTTCCATAGTGTGATCAAAACATATGTAATGAATTAAATGTTAATTTAAATCCACTCCAGCCATAGATAAAATTATATACTGTATTAGCATTTATTAAATCATAGCAGCATTCTGCATACAAGCCAGATTACAACTAATAAATTTAGATCTAACTTGGGAAGTATAAACCACGGGAAAATGTTTAGACAATTTTATTTTATAGGCAAATAACCTGGCAGTATTTATATCTTACTTGATAATGGCTGCATATTACTCAAAAGCTCTGCATTAGGTCCTCTGCTTACTGAGTAATATACTTTGTCCATTAATCGTAAAAGACTGCCATAAAATTATAGGTTGTAATCTCTCCAAAATACCCTTAGATATAACTATATATCTAACTACATATTATATATATATTATATATATATATATATATATATATATATATATATATATATATATATATATATATATATATATATATATATATAATATATATATATATATATATATATATATATATATATATATACACATAAATGGAAGAAATTATAAGTGCCTCATAAAAATATGATAATGTCATGTCTTGAACATTGCTGAGACTATTGTAATACTATATCTCTACACAAAATTAATTAGGAATGTGTGAAAATTAGTCATAAAATGCATATATAATGTATATATACGAATTTTTATACAATAATATATTTCTGTACAGTACATACAATATAAACAAATGAACTAAATACAAATATTACCTCGGCAAAATATTGGCTAATTCAATATTAATAAAACACTAAATATACTGAGAATAACAAACAAGAAATGCGAGTGTATAACACTGTGTCATATGTATCATCCAGAAACCAAACTACTAATAATTGTTCAAAACCTCACAAAAAAAAAAGCTTGTCTACAATATTTTTGCAAGATCTTCAAAGTACATACAATGAAAAACATAACCCCCCCCCTCCCTCTCTCTACCACCCTTCTATAACAAAATCTTATGCCCTAATTATACATTAGGATTCATAAAATACAGTATTTTGACAGCTCAATGTTGTTCTATACAAATTTCGTACCTCACATAACTCCGATAAGTTTTATCTTGACTATTAATAACAAATGTAATTAAAGAATACAGTATTACAACCCAACTTAATCTTTCCATAATTACTGTATCCATATACTACACTCACACCTAACACAATTAGGACAATCGTGTTGAGCATGCTTTTCCATAGGCCCATGTACACTGTTTACCAATACAGTAAAAAATTACAACACTATGTGAAGATACGTATCCTTAGTTTATGGCTTCAAGATTATATCTACATTTCAACAGACTCTCAGCTGACAATTATCAAAGCCCCATAAAGATACAATTGCCTTATAGCAACAGTTACATTTGAAAAAGTGTGATGTCGCGGGACCGAGGAAAATACAAGATACGTTTGTTTTTTCCAACACTCTTGCAATGCCATAATTACCAGCAGCAACTCTTAAATATTATATTGCAATTTATGCAAATCGTGTACTGAATATACGACCAATTATAAAACTTTAAAACAAACAACATTTCAAGAATAGCAAGTACAATATAACACTAGACAAATGAAGAAAAATAAATTTTGAAAAATTCAGTCTTAACTCTGTAAATGCAAATACAAATTATTTTGACAAACATAGAACTTACTGTACAGTAATTACCACGTTCAAATGTTTGGTCGAGAAGTAAACTCGGTAAAGAAACAAAAGAATTTACCATTGTAATGACTAAATTAACTCATAACTATTATGAAATATCAGGAGTTCTTACATTCTTGTACAGCCACTAGGATGCATAGCATTTTGGGCAAGTCATTAACATGCACTAGCACACAAGCTAGCACGTGCTAGTTACTAGCACATTACTAGCACGCATGTGCAAGCCACTAGTACGCACGTGCAAGTCACTAGCACAGCCACTAGCACGCATAGCATTTCAGGCAGTTCTGAAAATGCTGAACACGTGCTTAATGCAAAAAAAAAACTTTAAGAGAAAATAAATGAATACCTGTACTTATGATTATAATTTCCTTCTGGTTCTTAATACACTAACAATTTCAAAAGTTTCTTGGTAACATTTATCACAAAAAATCAAACTATCTCGATATTCAATAATAAAAAGTAAAAATCAAATATGAAGTATATATTAAAATGTAATCATAAATAATTAAAAAAACTGCATATTAACCTTATCTTTTTGCCTGTTGATGGTGCATGCTATTCTTAAATAATTCAAATTCTTTCCTTACAGGAATACCTCCATCTATTTTACTGAATTAGTAAATCTCCTGAATAAGGGCAAGCATTTAACCATGACACCCTTGCCTGAAAAAATGCACAAAAGCCATATCTGTAAGTCATTATATTGACAACATAAAGCTTTACAGATCCCTGAGTAGATGTTGGCTGGACTAATCCTGTTTTGTGTAATCAAATTTTATGTTTACTGGTCATGATTTAATTCTGACTTAAGCACTTGTACAATTTGATTTACTACATCAAGTATAAAGAGAACATTTCCGTGACATATCCCATATCTATAGCGTGTTACACTGGAATATGGAAGCACTAGCACTACCTTTCTAAATGCTCTGGAAAACCACCATATAATTCTATTTCATGCTACATAAAGATATGACCAGGATTATGTTTCTAGATAAACAAAACACACACACACACACACACATGCACACAGAAAACATTTGTTACAAAAAATACTTCACTAAACAGTTCTACACACTTTAAAATATTGCTCTTATCCAAGAACTTATCTTTTGCCTGTACATTAATAGAACAAGGACTTGTTAATCTACTACTGTATCTGAATCATGCAAATAAAAATGACGGATATATTCTGCATTTATATTATTAAACTCTAGCAGACAACACCCACTGGTATTGTGCATCATCCAAACTTCATTATGAACCATTCATCCAAAACACCATGCACTTCACATGTTTCCAATTCCCTTCCTTTGCAGGAAGAATGGAATAAAGCTAATCTCTCATGTATATTAGAGCTAGACCTTTCCCAAACTATAAATTTAACATCTTATTTCTGAAAAATTAAGGCATAACATTGCACAAACTCAATTTTTTTTTTTTTTTACACAAAATATTTTCTAGGGTTATTTATTAAGGCTGGCCAGCAGTACATAGTAAATAATGGAAGAACCACAGAAAACACAGCCCAATGTAGCTAACTTATCATTGTCAAAAGCTCTTCCAACTCAGCACCTACAGTACTAGGTGTACCTCACTTTCAGTGACTGTAAATAGGAAGAGGGATGGAGCGAGAACCTTACAAGCAGGGCCATTGCTCATAAAACAAATTTACTCCATAAGAGTGCTTTTTCCTTCATGTAAACTGGCTATTCCCAAGTCCATATGTACAGCATAAAAAATAAAGTGCAAACCTTCATCCAATTACCACGTTCAAATTACATGGTGACATTACTCGACATTCTTAAAAGTATGGTAAATATTACAACCTAACCATTTACTTGTAACAAACCTCATAACTTAATACAGTAGTTTTTTTTATAAACGGATCAGAAGACAACCTACAACAGATAAACCACATAACCGACAACCGAACGAGAACTGAATCATCTCCAGCACCCAGCACTACCGGGTGGGTAAATACAAGGCAGAAAGGCCAGCTTCATTCTAGATTGACAGATGTTGCCTTTCTAGTCTCCCCATAAATAGTTTATGTATAAATGAGGCATTAATAGAAGTATCAAATACATTCCGTAAGTTGGTGGAAATACAGTGCCATACCAGTAATGTATATGATAATAAATCCACCCTAAAATGAGTCAAGTTGGAATTTGATGCAATGAGACTTAAGCTTCAGTATTGGAGAAACACATGGCAGTATTAAGGCTAACATACACTGTGAACAAAAAACTTGTGATTTGTAACATATCAAAAGGAAGGAAACATTTCCATAGCAAAGTACATCTTTCAGCAGCTTTCAGTTCCATTTTGTATAAACAACCAATATACTAAAACTACACTTCCACCTAAAAGGCATGTATTAGCTTGGATCAGAAGCTTGCACAGCAGCATCTCTCAATGCGGACACCACCACTTGAGGAAGGTGATGGCGCAGCATGAAAGGGGATATCAGGATCTCTGAAAACTCCTTCATTTCGCCCCATATGAACTTCCACTCTCCAGCATTACCATCAAGCCTGGTGGGGAAAAAAAAAAGTTTGGGAGCCTGTCTCGGGGAAAAATAACAATCATAGTTAATCCTCTTATTTTTAAGCATTACAGGCTCTTCTTATGGACATTTTGGACCTAATAATTCAGTTAGACAGAGAATCAATATCAAGAGCAAAGTTGTAAAGCCATTTTTCCCACTCATGATTCTTCTGTTCCCTCATATTCATTCTATGGCACCATGTGACATCTCGCTCTTGACATACATTACACAACTCTCACTGAACACTATTTCACATTCTTTATGTTTTTTTATCAGCACTACAAGCAACTTGATCTTTTACTCAGCTTTCCTCTTTTCTTTCCTGTTCGTGCATTTAAAACATTTGTATTATAGTGCGAGAAACATCCGCTTCATTTAAATGACAGAAAAAATTCTAACGAAATAATCAACCAGTCCCTCAATTGTTATTTCTACATCTTAAAAACATAATGACTGATGAAGAATGTGTGTTTAATTGTGTGTCCACACAATCCTGGCAAATTAAAATAAGAGCAGGAGAGAAAAATCAAGATGGGGCCATAATTACTGTACACAGCCAACTACATCACTCAAAAACTTTGTATCCAATGGTACTCATATATTCCACAGTGCACTTAAGCCACTTCAAATAGCAACTATTGGTCTTGTAACTAGATAACCGAGAGTTCCCAGCTGCTCGAGGCCTAGTGTTGCCCTAGGTCAGCCACCAGGAGTTCATCATTATCCATGCATGTAACCGACTCATTAATGTGATTTTATATGGCACCAACATGCTTTCTTCTTTCATCTCTTAACTTAATAAAGAAAATTAAACACCCTTTCAATATGCTAGTGCAAATTATATTGTTATGTCTATGAAGGTTTCTAGTAGCAACACTGAAGAGTAAACTATTACATCTCTGCCAACACAAAAAGCCTTACCAGTCAGAGAAACTAATGGCTTAAGAGATTGTGGACAATACCAAGACAAAAAATCTAACAGATCAACTCGATAGAAAACAACGATCTTAAGGCTGCAAGTTTGATCAAGATTTGCTTAATTAGGCTTAGGACAAGTTAGGTTATGTTTATCATTAGTATGTCCCTTTTAAAATTCTTAAAAAAAATTATTAAAAAAAAAATTCTAATAATTTTTTTAGTCCCTTTTAAAATAAATAAATTATATATATATCTATATATATATATAAACTGTAGTAACTATATGTATTATAATTATTAGAAGATGGGATTTAATTTGCTTATATAAATAGTGTTTATTATGTAACGTAACCTGCTTACTGAGAAGATGTGACACCCCTGTGTCAAGCTCTCATACTGTAACTACACTTTGGTAATTACACAAAATATTCCTCCCTATGATTGCACAGTCAACTAATGACCCAAAACATTCAGTTTGAAGCCCACACTGTATGGATAAGTTTGGCATACTTCCTTACACCTGATTCCTCTATTCACCTAACAGCACTAGTAAATAGGTACCTGGGTTTTATTAATGTTTTGTGGGTTACATTCTGGGGAGTCAGATGCAGGCCTTGGGGAACTTTGATAAGCTTACAGGCTTCCTGTTGTTGATAATAGGGAAAATATGTCTATAGTACTCACTTCTCTTCCTCTGGTAAGCTTGGGAAGCAATACAAGACTCGACCAGGTAGATAGAGAGGCGTTTCTGTGTGTCGTGGAACCTGGCACCTTTGAGATCCATTATCAGAAAATGTCACACGCACATCATCAATGCTCTCCTGCACAGAAGGGGATGATGTCTATAAATAATTGCAAAATATTAGAACATTGTTATACATCACCTTACATTATGACAACAATACATAATAAAGGACACACAAAAAGCTAAATATCAATTCTAAAAGTAATGTTGTTCTACAAACTGTAATATATCTACAGAACTTCACAAATACTTTAGGTATATACATAATTACACATTTAGTCTCAATAGTTATTTGAATATTTTAACAAAGGCATTCTTTAATGTGATAAGAGATGAATGCTAACAGTCATAATGAACAGCTCAGTATTAACCAACATCCAAGTAGCATGCAGGTGCAGGTGTTCACAAGTAAGTGCATCAAAGCAATGTTCAGCAAAGTAATCAGCATCCCAACAGATGTGTATTGCATTGCTCATGATGTGTACTGCTCACTCTTTACTGGGCTTGCCACATTTATTCAGTTTCTTGCCTCAAGCTAATGTTCTTTATTCATTCTTTACATCTCTGCCCACTATACCAAACATGGTTTATGAATTTAAGCTCCCTCAATCATACTGGCACTTACTCACATATAGCTATACCTTCCCACGGCATGTTCATGCTAAATATGTGAATTCTGACTGTAGAAAGGATTACTGTATTTGCATATTTGTATGAAGCTGTATTTGTATAAGCATATATACTCATGTTGTTTGCTGTCTAGTCTGCAAATCCCTTTGCTAATTTATTAGTAATTTAAAGGATTTTCCCTAAAACTGTCAGAAAACTTTTTGGCTGTGGGAGATATTAATTTATTAAATCTATAACAAACTGAATGATCATTACAAGAATATAACAACAAAACTGTGCTTATGCCATTTATGTTGGTGAAAATAATTAGGTAAAGATGTGTAAAGCTGCAATAACCAAGCAAATGCTGTATATGCTCATTTTATTCTCAAATTCAATTTAATTACCCACCGCCCATGAAACATGTAAGATATTAGATTCGTGTGATGCTTCTGCATTTTAGCCATGAGGTGTCACTTAATACCTTTAACCTCCCTTCCTTACTTTCCTCATCTTTGGCCAATTGCCACTCCCACAACTATCCCTAAAACACTTCCCATCCTCTCTGGCCATGTAACTTCCCATTAACAAGCAATTAAAAAAAAAATGTATCCAATACTGTGACGAGATAACTGAGAACCTCCCTCACCAAGGTAATCATCACTTACTGTTAACCTAAATGTGCTCCTAATTTTAGGAATTATGCACCTCTTACTCTGCTACTGGCTGTAATCACAGACATCTTGACTCGTGCATGCTATAGATTATAACATCTCTGACATTTAACACCGAGCAGCTACTTCACCTGTAGTCTTTATATAAATTAAATATGCTAGACCTTGCTCCTGTTGCTATACTACTCAACCTCTGGTATAATACCTCTGCAGTTTTGTTTTAATGTTAAAATTAAACAATAATGCAATTAAGCCACCATAACACTTTTATAAGAGTCCAAACAAAAAATACAGCACAGAAAAAACAAAACACATCATTACTATGGCACAACAACATGGGACAGAAGCGTTAATGCAACTATCAGAATTATATATGCAAGACTTAACCCATGCGTAAAGACCACAGCTGTCCAATGGTTCGTATTTACAACACAATCATCTGCATCTCTTTACAGCACCTACCTGCCATATTGGATGTGGATATAAATACAGTACTTGTTTACCATCTTGGGAATATTTGTATTGGAATATGATACATATAACAAATTTCATACTAATACAGGCATTACAAGAAAATTGTCTATGAATAGCACTGGTATTACTAAGTCAGTGATGTTTCTAAAAAGCTGAAAATATTTATAGAAAGCTGGAAATTGAGTACTTGATGAATTAATTATGAATTCACTACTTATGAATTAGACATACAAGTTCACTCGAGTAAATTTTACATACTGTATCCTGCCCTTTTGTGAACAGGAACACATTAGGTACTAAGCACAGGTAAAACTTTCAAATATTGTACTGCTACTTAAGATTTTTAATAAATCTGTTTCCTTTTTATCTCTTATCAGATGCAGTTTCTTACCATTACATAATTCAAATTTTTGTTTACACCTTTTGAAAATTATTATATAATTATCTATGATTGGAAGACCAAAATTGGATTGGAAGACCAGAACTAAATTCATAAAGAAGGTTTCTGTGTGAACAACATCACAAAAGAATGGCAAGGCAATGTTGAAATAATATAAAAGTGTTCAAGAGACATTTTTAAAGAAATTAACAAAGGTGAAGATACAGGGAGGTTTTCTACAGATGAGAACAAAGAATAGAAACCTATGTTCAGCTACTGGACAAGGATTTTGGGTGTTATTGATGCCCAGCTACTGAACCACCACCTTGACACCTACTGTACCCATTGTTGAACCAGGATCCAGAGAAAACCAGGAACAGTGGCTTTGGCTTTACAATAATGTAAAAATGTGACCCATTGAGAGGATTGCTTGAACTAGAGGGGTTACGTGGCCCATCAAATGAACTAAGAGATCAAGTGCTGTCAACCCTTCGTTGATACTGGACCAGGAGCTTTAGGCTGTTAAGGCCAATCCACTGCATCTGACTTGGGTAGTGACATTAAATTATTTAAAATATGTTTAGAGATTTGGGAGTATTTAAATTAGCTAACAATTTTAAACATTAACATTTCAATTGAAACTGTGTTCTATACCTAAATATCACAAGTGCTTCTGTAACCCATCCACTACAGTCCACAGGATGATTATGCGAATACTGTATATAATATCATAAAATTAAAATATTATCAACTTAATTAGCCAGCAGATTCATGCTACAGTGCAAGTCAATTGGAGTCCACGAGCTTTAATAAAGATGGCAAAAAAAAAGGGTTAATTCAGCCAAGGGACCATCCGAGTAGGGGAAATCAATATATACTACTGTATACACAAGACAATGAGAAGCGCAAATAATCCAACACAGTAAGTGAAAGAAAAGCATGAAGAAGATTCAAAATTACTAAAAATGGAAAAAACTGAAAAATACAAGGATAGGAAAGGTGGACATGAACACGTATTTGGGAGAGAATTTGGCTGGAAATAAATGGCAAGATTTCTTTCAACGTTTATACATGTTGTAATCAAGATGTAGTGAGTTACGTGTATGGCTCATGAACCTTGACTGACTGACTGACTGACTGCAGTAGGAAACAGCATATGAGAAGAGACTGATAAACAAGAGCTTCTTGTCTCATATTCACCTGTTTATCATGAAATCCAAAAACTGGGTTGAACTTAAGACACAGGAAACAACATATAAGTATTATGATAGCCTCAGGTTAATTAAGCATGATTTGTTAAAAAATAAAACCAATTTTGGTGTTACACTAGTAGATTACCTTCAATTAATATACAGTATTTAATACTGTATATTTTAATTATAACTCGTATTAACTTTAGGCAAAAGGACAATTTGTTCAGCCTGAGTTTTGATATAATACTTAAGGTAAAGCTTAGAATATTAATGGTGACTCAAGATATATATTATATCATGAAGCTAAATCAAACCAGTCATAATAACCAATGAATTGCAACAGACATTATTATACTTTTCACTATCTCCAACCAAAGATTGATCCAATGCTCCGCTTATTTAAAATATTTCTCACACTTTAAATGGAACAAAAAATGAAAAAGCCCAATAGCAGAGAAACCCCTATGGCAATTTCACCTTCAAATGTTATTTGTGACGCTAACCTCTGGCCCCAGTTCAGGACATGCACATCTTATAGTGGAAATAACAATGCCTACCACCTTTCCAATTCTTCCCCACATACACAAGTGCAGCATGGTTGAACACAATACCCCGTTCCTTAAACTGAATGGGGAGTTAAAAAACCAACTCTTAAGGTTAATTCTGCTCGACATTATGTTTGCAAGGTTCAAGATTCCATTTAAATCAAAACAGAACTTTGTTATTAATTCCGTACAATAAAAAGCACTAGTAGTCTCTGTCTTTAGTCTTCAGTATCAGACTTTAGAAATTATTGCTCTCCATAGTGATCCAGATTCTTTAGACATTTCTTAATTTCTTAAATTCAGTAATTGTAATCTTAGGGTTCATCTATTAGTGGCAGAGCTTAAACTAAAGCATATCTTCCAATTTCATTATCAGATTCTGTCAAGAAATATAGTCAGCACACTTATACAAAACAAAAACATAACTGCCATACTTACATAGGTAAAAGAATTCGAGGCACTGTCAAGAAGTGGACGGTCTAGAGATGGACTCTCAACCGAGTTTGCAGAGTTCAGTGATGCTGCAGATATACCAAACAACATGTACCAGCAGCCCTGAGCTAGTACACGGTACTGGCAACAAATAAAATAATATGTAACAAATTCGTTTTTGTCAGAAATCAAATATTCGAGGAAATTTTTTAATCACAAATAAGCTACAAAAAAAAAAAAAAATAACTATCAATACTGTACATCTGAACCCCATAACTTAACTCTTATTGTCAATTACAGAGTCCATTATTACCCATTACAGTGGCCCCTGATGCCCAGTATCTGAAATATATTGTTCAATGTTTTGAATATAACAGCCAGTTTGTACATATGTGCCATAAGCAGCAAAAACCCATGCGTTCAAAATTAACAAGATCATCTTTTATATACTGTATCCTAAAATCACAATTAAAAGCTCACCCTGACATATTGAATAATTGGAAAAGACTTAAATATGTCTTTACAAATAAAGAGAAATGAAATCAGGCACATCCTGTTTATAACACACCTTTAAAAAAAACAAGGACACACCTTTGGCTGACGACAGGTATCTAAAACACACATAATCTTGTGACGGAGGTCATGGAGGGAATTCATGGATAAGCGAGGCACAAGATCATCCCCAACGACTACCGACATCACAAAGCTCTGAAAATACCACTTCTTGTACTAATCATGTTAGATTTTCCATAACATTTCTACATCTATTACTCTTATCACACTCTTGTTCATCTCCACTTCAGTTTGCATCCACAGAAAATATTTCTCATTTTTTTGTGAATAAATATTTACGCTCAGTGCATCACCTTGTGATTCATGAGCAGTACTGTATACCCTGAGAAGGAAGAAGGGCGCGCACCAGGAACATTAAAGTCTCATCACCAAAAACGCTAACTTAAAACAGAATATTAAAATGAGAACAATGGTCTAAATTTTTGTTTTGCATAAAAGATGGACATATTAAATCACTTCAAGTTAAAACCGTAAATCAACTATACATTACAGTAGTGTACAGTTTGTACAACTGTACTTAAGAATCTCACACTTAATTTTAGAATTTCCCAGACTCCTAAGACTCTTTACCTACAAAAACAAAAACAAAAAAAAAATCTTTGACAAAAACAAGCTATTGTAATTATTATTTACATAATTAAAAAGTATTCTTTTTCTTCAATAGAGTAATTTAAGCCTGCACTCTTTAAAGCTATTACTGTACTGTCCTTTAACCCTGAAACTGCTTCTGTCGCCCCTCAAGAGAGAGAGAGACCAATGGTGGTTGTCACCCGTGGCAGATTTAATGCGATTCGTAATATTCAAAATATACCCCAAAAATATTTGCGTGGATGCGATTCAACTTTAGAATGAATGGCATCTACTTTAGGTGTGAATGGCATTCAACCTCTGACAAGCGTTTGCCATATTGGTAAAATATTATAATCCATCAACAATGATAGGAACCATTGATGCTATGCAAAATTTCAAGGCATTTTATGGACCAAGATGATATTTGTGATACAGTAATAAGAAATCTATTACAATTCTTTTTCTTGAAAACTAATTCTTGGAATTTGATATTTAAACATTTCTTCACCTCACTATAGCCAAACTAAAAAGCATTAGAAGTTTTTCCACGCATTAAAAATATGTTTTACAATATAGGAAACAAAAACTTTATTTTGGTATTTTTTTTTTATATGAACCAGGAAATCAACCTAAAAATGGGTGTACAGGTAGAGTTAATGTAGTAGTACAGAACTGTATTATCTTTAATTTAAGCTTGCAATATTATTTAAGCTTTAATAAGAAAGACAAGAATTTACCTGTGTAGCCAGAGCAAACTCCTTTGAGCAAAGACCACCCGGCGGGGAAAATGCAAAACACTTAAGACTGGGGTACTGCGGCCGCATCAGAGTTGCCAACACCACTGCCGTCCCTGCACCCAAACTGTGCCCTGTCAAACAATATCAATATATATATAACACCACCTTTTCAATAGATCCAATGTGACTTACACTGGAGGCAACCGTTACCAGCTTCCTGGACCTCTATGTAGAACAGATAATTGGAGATACTTTTCACCCATATAGAAATTAACCCAAGAACCACATAGCAATCAGAATCCATTCGATTTGGCAACTCCTGCAGAAACTTGTTAAATTCAATCTTTAAAGGTTCAACCATTCTTCCACCAACCCTTTCAATAAATGTTGGTGGGAAGTCAGGTTGTGGACCTCTGATGTGCAGCGTTATCTTATTGTACTTATGGTACCTGACTTTCATCGAGTTCATTCTACACCTCCTGCCACATCTATCATGCCAGTATCTTGTAATATTATTGTGCAAGTTTTGCACTACTCTTAAATTATTGTGTGTGTTTATTATGAGATGTTCATCTAGCTTCCATTCCAGGGAGCACAATTTTAGTACTTTGAGGCAATCCGAGTACAGAACTTTAAATGTAAAACTAAAAAATGCAAGTACACTAGACATTGCTGTATATATTTTAGCTACAGTATGTGCATTAAGAAATTGTACAGTAACTAAAAACATATCATGCAATAATAAAGGGAATATCACAATGGTGTAATTATTCTGATAAAAAAAAAATGCACTAGCCAGTTATGACGAGTCCATAGCCGGTGCGAGCAGACAACGCCTCAGCCAGGGCTCGCGTTTCTTCTAACCTGCGAAGGACAAACCTTGCTGCATGTACCATGCCTTTGTGAGCAACACAACCTTCAGGAATCCCTTCAACCTCAATCTAAACCAAAGAAAAGAGAAGAGCATTATTGTAATTCTATTTTGAATTGTATTTATTTGCTCATTTGATTACTTTGTTAGTGTGGCTCCAAGCTTCCTGTGTGCCATCCCTACAACTGATACACAAGACCATCCTATATAAATATACAATATCACATCTAACTATAATTATGAAACTATTTTAATCAGTTTTTCCAAATAAATTTTTTAATTGATTAAATTATGATGGTAATCTTCATGCAAAGAAAGCTCCACCAACACTAACATTGATGCTCTGAGCGTTGAGGTCAGTGATTGCGTCGTGGAGCGAGAGTGTTCCACGAATAGCCACCACAACATTTTGAGTTTCATCGTCAATTGCAACAAAAAATGGCACCTGAAAGAGAACATTATGGTGAGTGCACCATTACTGAAATATCATGCGCTGTCAGCAAATGTACATACTGCATTCACATAACTGAATTGGAGTAAACACAATACAGGCAGAAAGTGTTTTGATATATAAAAAGCCTGTCCTGATAATTACAAACCCTGTCAGCTCAATCTCTTGCAACATTAAAACTAGTACCGTTTATTATTATTATCATTAAAAAGATGAAATGCAAAGGACAGCAACCAGGAAAGTGATGGGACAGTCGATATTCAAAAGGACTTCTCTAGCACAAATCATCACTACACATTTGTGTAGAGTAGTTCATCAACTGAGTTAATGAACCTTAGGAGTAGAAAAAGTACTTGTGAGCAAGAGCTAGACTAGATCAGGTAGGTACTAGGAGGAAGAACAGGCATTTTAACATGGATGAAAAGGCTAAATACATATACAAATGTGATCAAGGCTCAGGAGTGAGGCTGCTGGCAGACAGTGTTGGCACAGAATGTGGTGTCTGCTCTAAAAAGTTGTTTTGTAGACTGTCTGATTTGCCATAATCAGTAATAATTATATGGGTTCCCACAGAATTGTGCAGAATATCTTGAGCTAAAGGAAGCTAAGCATGAGAAAATTTATGAGATTCATTTGAAAGATTTTTTGGTTAGTTTTTATTTTAAGGGAAGAAAATTTTGCGCAGTCAAAATAGAGAAGAATGCCTGGGGCAAAGAATGACAGCTACATGCAAAATGCAGGACTGCACACTTGTGGAGTGAGTCTAAAGAACAACCAACAAGGAAGGAAAGACTAACATCAGGAGAAGCACCAGAAGCCCCCTGGCTTTGAATATCAGCCATGGACAAAATGGCAAAGAAATTCATCAAAGCAAAGCAGTAAACAACTACATATCCTCAGCATAGGGACAAATGCTGGCAGACTGGACTGAACCACCATTGGGAGAAATTGTGAAAAGTAGATCTTGGAACATGAGAAATGGCAGACAAACAGAGCTTCAACCCCGAACAGTGCAAGGAGCACCATAAAAAAATTCATTCAATCACAATCAAAATTAATCTTATAATTGGAGATCAAAATGTCTAAGGCAGCTGGACAAAGGCCACACCTACCTTACAAATGCCAACAAGAGCAGCTACCCCAAGACCAAACAAGATGAGATGGTATAGGCAGCAATTGAAGAATTAAGAGAAGTCAGATGAGAAAAAGAGAACACCAGTGGCAACCAAAACTAAGGAAGGATACTGAAGAAAGGAACAGACAGAAGGACTACAAAACCACCACACTGTGCCACAGCAATTAAAGACATCGATGTAGCACTAAGAATGCCACCTGACTAACACAGATTGCACAAAAGGCTAAGAAACCCCCCCACACATGAATGTTAGCAGAGAACTGCAAACCACCAAGGCTTGGTGCATCAATGAGCTTTATGGAAAGGCAAAGCCCTGGGAAGGGATGGGGCCAAGACAAAGGCAAGAAAACTCAGGAACTAAGGCTAAACTAACCACAAGAAAGCCTGTTGGTGAACACAGCCTGCAAAAGAATGCAACCCACAAACAGCCCTTATCCATTTAACTTGGGAAGAAGCCCCTGGACCAGGAAAAAAAGAAAAGATAAGTCCATCTTCCACAGGAAATGGAAAAGGCACTCCATAAACTGGATGTTGCCAGGACCATGCACAGGTAAATCATGCCATCCTGCAAATAGTTGAACAGACTGCAAAGCCAGGAGGAGGAAGCCTAGACTGCACCTCATTCCATCGAATAGAATGGAAAGGAGAGAGAGAGAGGGCTACTGCGCAAATAGTTAACATATCCCGAAAGAGAGCAACACATCCAGTATGCATCTGGCACTTGTACGCTCAACACATTGATACACGGGAGATCAGGTAACTGATCACATGAAGACTCTTGCACAGTTGGCTACGGGCTCACTCTGTTCCTTACATGATTGTTACCTAATGTTGTTAGTGAATAAAGCTTATGCCTATTGATGCATATAATAGGATCATGAAATATATGGGTCTAGCAGTAGGTTTCAAGTGAGCTGAGGTAGGATAACAGCTCTTGCTTGCAGTTTCACTAGGTATAACATTTGACAGCCCTTATGAACCCTAGTCTTTGTTATAATAATACAAAAAAACACTGATAACCATAGTTCAAGAAACCAGAAGCAAGGCTATCTGGCTATCCTTTGAGACTAGGTAAAATGTGCATGCACCACAGCCAAAATTCTTACAAAATCCACCGAGTCTTCCTGCAAATGTACAAATAAATAAAGTACAACATTTTATTACATCGGGGAGGCTGTTCCACAATTTAAGACTATTTGCCAGGCATTTCCTTTGGTTAAGTTGATCCCAGAAGACATCAAAGAAACACTGTATTTATCGTGAAGTGTCCGAGTTCAATTTCAGCATTATAAAAAAAATTGAAGCACAGGATTAGTATTACAGTAGAGTGCTATAGACCAATGTGTGTGTAGTTAGAAAATCATTGTTATAAATCTCACCAATGACTTCATAACTGTGTATAACCTCTTACCTCTTGACAGATGGGAAACTATGCTATATACTGGAGCAAATTTTGTCAGATTACCTCATATATTTTGTTGTGGAAGGTGATGTAGGTGATATTGTCCTCGGTGAGATTAGTGATTGCCTTAAGTGCTGCTGTGTGGCAGAGGCAGCAGTTATCCTGCATAACGAACTCTGGAGATGATCTGCACATTAAGATTTATTTCAGAGTTATTTAGAAGTGATAAAGCATTAGTTGGAAGTGGAATTTATAAGAACAGCTCTGCTATCTGATGCATAGATACTGCATGGCCAACTTAATCAAATTTAAAGTAACTATTTTACCATGCTAATCCACATATTGTACTAAGCAAGCAACTCTTACGGTATCACAAAACAGTAGTTTGACATATTGACCCCCCCCACCACACTGTTGAATTAACATAGCTGTTCTTGCCTTGAAAAGCCCGATTATAAAACTTCAAATATAAAAAGTTAGTTTCACCCACCTGCAAAATGGTTCAGTAAATAAATTTTAACCTACGTGCTAATAATAATAAAGCCATTTATTAAGTTACTTATTACCTGAAGTTTTATTCCATATTATATTGTAGCAACATTTTTCACTTTTATGGAGCATCAGTCCAGTAAAAATAGAAGATCACTACAGTAGTACTGTATATGAAAAGAGCAAGATGTTCACACACCATTCACCCAATCTGCCAGACTACACAGCAACATAAAAGTCACACCACTATCACACCTGTAAATCATTCACAAGAGTATCCCTCCACTTCATAAGATTAAAAGTATAAAAGTAGTGTTTCTCAAAACATGTCAGTTAAATTATGTCACACAATAACTCCCTCCTGAGGAGGCCTGACAGCCGAGTGGACAGCGCTTCGGATTCATAGTCCTGAGGTTCCGGGCTCAATCCCCAGTGGAGGCGATAACAAAGGGGCGGAGTTTCTTTCACCCTGATGCCCCGTTACCCAGCAGTAAATAGGTACCTGGGAGTTAGACAGCTGCTACGGGCTGCTTCCTGGGGTGTATAACAAAAAGGAGGCCTAGTCGTGGACCGGGCCGCTGGGACGCTAAGCCCCGAAATCATCTCGAGATAACCTCTTAAACTGACTCCACCAAATCATGTTTTCTGCCACTATGCTTTCTTTTGAACCAAATTTCCATGCACACAAATTCACTCAGATCTTTGCTATATTTACTATACATTTCTTTGCTATATTTGAGCATTTTTGCATATACAGTACATCCATACAAGCAGTTTTTCCTTATTATGTCTTCTGCACCATTATGCTAATCTAATCTATAGATATATCTTTCAGCATTCTGCCTTCAATACTTCTCACACCAGCAAAACCAATCAGACTCACATTTGCACTTCATTTATAAATTTTGGTCATCAGATTTTAAAAGCACCATAGAATTCCAAAATTAATATTTGTTTGTTTATTGTCATGCATAATGCCATTACTCAAATAGTACTTACAACAGACCATACAGGATGGTATCGGGTGCATGCAGTGACCTGATCCCTGACCCATGATCTGTTAATAAGGAAAGATCTGTGCATATATTTACCTGCAGCACATACAACACCGCAAGTGCGACCATAGAGAGCAGCATGCACCACAGAACTGGCCATAAACAAACCAGGGCCAGCCGTAAGATGCCAGAGCATACTTCATAAAGTGATAGGCACTGCCAACTTTCATCCACTCAGGACGTGGTGACTGCTGGTACGGCAACCCTCCTTCATCCTGCAATGCACCTGAGGAAAAATCTTTAGATTTATAAACACAGTATTTATATAATCATAATGATCATGATCACAAATGTATTTGAACTGGCAAAATATTTCTTCGATTTTAAAAAATGTATTTAATGTCAGTGTCAGCATAAGGCAATAAATAAGACATTAAATGGCAGGGAGGCATTCATGTCTCTCCCATAGAAACTTTAAAAAACGCTGAAAATAAATTTATGTACAAATGAAATATGCAATTACCGAGTACTTTTGCAGTACTATAAATCATGACCTTCCCAATTAATTCAGACCATCTTCCCAAGGCTACAATAGAGATAACATTCCAGATGACAAGTCTAAAGGCATGCAATCAACTCAAGTTTTATATGTAAATGATAAATAGCTACTGTAAAACTTCATAAACAAACCCAAAGCAAGTATGGTTGTTCCCTTTAAATTTAATTTTTTAACACACATTTTCACAAACGCTCCCCCCCCCTCCCTTGTCTCTCCTGCCCCTCTTCCTCCCCCATCTCTCCTTCCCCTCCCTCCATGTCAACTTCCCCCGTCCCCTCCATCTCTCCCTCCCTCCCCCATCCCCTCCATCACTCCCTCCCTCTCCCGTCCCCTCCATCCCTCCCTCCCTCTCCCGTCCCCTCCATCTCTCCCTCCCTCCCCCATCCCCTTCATCTCTCCCTCCCTCACCCATCCCCTCCATCTCTCTCTCCCTCCCACCCCCGTCCCCTACATCTCTCCCTCCCTTCCCCATCCCCTCCTTCTCTCCCTCCCTCCCTCTTCCCTCTTTCCCTTGCAGTAATAGCAGTAATTTGCAGCCCTCACCAATGCTGGCGGTGGAGGAGCGGCTGATAGGTAGATGGAGGTTGAGCTTTCTGTTGGACTCCTCCCGTTGCTCCTCGTGTTTCCTCTTCAGCCTCAGTAGCACCAGAGCAGCAGCTAGGTCGGATGCCACCAAATCACTCTCCTCAAACAGAGAGGCAAATACATCTGCAAGTTATTGTGAACCAATATGAGTTGTGTGGAAAATAATGAAAAATGCAGATATATTAATGAACAAGTTATAACAATGCAATTTATCAACAAGATTTTATAAACCTTGGCACATGGCTTTGGTCCTTGTTCACAACCGACATTACAAATAAAACTAACATTAATATAAAAAAAAATCCCAGTTTTTTCCATTTTAAACATTATTATATACATATTACTGCAAAATTGTTATGAAAGTGTTACATCCAAATTAGATAGCCTAAAACTATTAAATTATTAATTTAATACTAAAATTAAAGTTACACAATGTAAACAAATTTTTGTTGAGAAGATAAATCGAGAAGATAAATCCATAAAACTCGCCTTACAAAATTTTAAGCCAACTCATTAATCCTCAAGTCTTGACTTACAAGACCAAATAAAATAATGTACCGATAACTTCCGATAGATTTCCATAAAATCCACCTGGGAAAGATCATCAGGGCAAATCGGGGGAACCTCTGACAAGCCACTAGCTTCCTGTCCTCGTCAAGGCCACTAGTGTTAAGTCACCCTCAGGTAAATTCAGGTAATTGTAATTTCTATGAGGAACAATCAGGGATACCAGCAGAAGATGTATAGTGGCAAATGATGGCTGTCTACTTGTCCAATTGGCACCAGTGATGATCTCATCATTAAAGTTCACCACTTTACAAAATAGAACCACTACATAAAAAATAAAATTATTGTAATTCCTTTACAGGGGAAAACTCAACACTATTCCATCTTATTACATGCACCCTTCAGTCATAGTGCTTGTCTCTACCTGCAACATTTCTGAAGGCTTCAGAGCTATTCTCATCACGAGATCTGACGCAACAAAAAAAACGACAGCGGTTCTCCCACAGCTGAATATAGTGACTCCTGAAAGAGAGAAAAGTTACTGCCCTTAAGTATTTACAATGCCACTGAGCTAACAAAAATAGATAAATATACAATATACATATAGTACTGTACTCTACTACAATAATACAAACTGAAGCTGTGCAAAACTCTAAGCTTTAGGTATACAGTACAGTATATGAAAAGTATTTTCCTGAGCAATAAACTTGGATGGTCACTAAAGCAAAATTGTACTGAACCTTGGTTAGGATATGGCTTAGTCAAAGCAGGTTGACATACTACACCACAGCTGATGCAAACTGTACTTGACCTTTAATGTGCAGCTATCACAATATCTGCCACTTTGACCATGCACATAAAAAAAAATATGTTTTTTATAATATTATACATTTGCATGGAAAGTAAGGAAAATGTTAAAATTCAAATATCCAAGTTGTGTGTTTCAAGCTCATTGGGAGAAAGCCAGGTGTGCAAGTCAGTGCATCCGTGGACTAGTACCCACAATTTGCCGATTCAACATGTAGGGAAAATAGGTGTGATGTTCAAATTAGGTAGTTTATGCTCATTATTCACTTCAGTTTACACAATGTGTGAAATAACTATTTCTATGTAATTGACAACAATAGTGAGTACTGTACATAGGAATGCAATACAATAAAATATGTACATCTATATTGCTTGTAAATCATTTAATAGACAACTAAAGGGAGTGTCATGCGGCCCATTCCTTTGCTGCTATTCTACCTGGAATCATCGAGAAACAGATTCACACAGGTAGAAAAGACCATATGGTGACTTGGTAATTATATTGCTTGTGATACAAGATAATTTCATCTATAGTAAGCAATTAAAAATCCACAGATGTAATATAACAACAAAATCCTAAAACCTGGGTGATAACTTATCAACATATGACAACCACATTTCCCAGGGTTCACTGTATGACAATAACTGCACTTTAAGAATTAAAGAACTGTACAACAGTCTGGATATCTTAACTGAAGAAAATTATACAAACAAATTTTTCTGCAATACCAAATTTATGAAAATTAGCTAGAAGAAATATTATATATCATGTACAATACAGTACAGTACTGCTTATTTATAACATGTACCCAAAACACCTCACAGCAAATGAAGCAACCAATGAGATTAAATGCATGCAAATAACAGGAAATAAACAAGCCCTACACAAGACTAGGGGGTCTCACCTACCCTAAGGCACCACCTTCAACAAGCCCTTGCCTGCTGGGTCGCTTCATGGGATCAAATAACAATAAAATCCCAATGAAAATGAGTCCAATGGCAACACAGGTGTAGATGACAAGAGCTGGAACAAGAGAGTAAGATAAGAGGAAAGTACATCAAATATAAATAGTAATGCTAAACAGAAAGTCCCTTACTTATAAGCTTACAAATTTCAGTTATAAAAAATCATTCAAGTTACCGGTACTTTTCTTTTACAAATTACTTTTGCCAAATATGTAGGCGTCTCAAAACCTTAAACTTTACCATATTCCAAACTCTTTGTAAAGTAAAATACTAGTATAGTATAACCAAAAATTTTGGCAAAATAAATTTCACACAATTTACTCCATCCATCTACTGTTTGCAAAAGAAACTTTTCATAAATTTTGATGGTACCTTTGTTTTCTTAGCTTGAATCTATGGCCACTTTCTTTCTGTTCTGGGTTTTAAAATTTCCTCCTTATCAATTTTAGTGTTTAACCAAATAAATAATAACTGTAGACTAATTCATAAAATTAAATTTCACATTAGTATCACCTTTCATCAGAAGGGGTAAGGCTGTATCAGGTTCACAGTGGATCTGACCTGTCAGTATCCATACACTTCCCATTACATTCCAAGCAACCTCTGGAATACCAAACATAACTCTGCAAAATGTATCGGATGCAGCATTAGTCAAGCTCATTTATTATACATTAACACAAAAATAGACTAAGTAATACACGTAATTGCATTTCATACAATAACAAAATGTAAATGCAGCAGTATTATCAATAATATCTGCAGGTCTAAGATTGTTATAATTCATCTAAATAATAATCCAGTAACTGCTTACAGTAAATGTATTACACATACAGTATAATACTCTTACAGTATAAAACTGTATAAAATACGGGCTCACCATAGCCCGTGCTACTTAGAACTATTTGTTTCAGGTTCTGAATCTTTAACAACAACAACATAAAACTGTATACTGTAAGATACAGTACTTAAGTGTCCTACAGTATAAAATTTGTAACAAAAATTAACAATTTGGAAAGCACCTTGTCACAAGGAGACGAGATACACGTTTCCGGGGGGCAGTATTCATGATGGTGCCACGACTGCTGAAGAACACTAGTAACACAGTTATGATGAGCGTTGTTCCCAGAATGACCATACTGCCTATAAGAAAGAGGCGAAGGAGGTGGCTGCCACTGGTGCACCTGGAGGTGTCGGCTTCGTGGTGGATAAACAGGGTCAGTGTCAACCCAAGCCTGTCAGATCAGAGTTTAGCAACTTTTAACAAAACACAATTTTTGTTTTCTATTGACTGCACAAACTTTCAAAACACAGTACAGTATCTCCAAACTTTTGTAACCAAGCTCAGCAGACATTTTGAATAATATTTTTCCCCCTGGAAAATGCATTTCTCTCGGCCCTCGCATGACATTATGCACAATTCTTAATGGGTGAACAAACATTACGTACAAGTTTTTCTTTGCAAATTAAAAAATGAAAATTTACATTATAATATCGAAAACATTTATAAAAAAATCCATAGAGTATTTATTATTATTATTTAAAATTAACATCAATTCTGATTTTCTCCTAAAGAGCCATGAAATTTTAAAATCATACTTGTATGGTACACTAAGAAAAAACAAAAATGATTTCAAACTTAATTATTTTGCACAAATATGTTTATGTAAAATCACGTCATATGCTCCAAAAAAAAAAATTAATTTTTCTGGGAGGGGCTCCTTGAATAGCTCCTCACTGCTACAACCTGAAAGTAACCAAGCCTTGTAGAACACGTCAGGCCTCTGGGAACCTGAACTTGAATATAACCGCCCCCCTCCCTCAAAAGAGGAAAAAGGGTTGCTTAGGGAATAAGAGATCACTACAATATAAAAAAAAAGTGCACCATAACAAGAAACTGCTTAGACAAACTTGTAACCCTGATGGAAGTTTTCTTTATTTGGGATTTTTTTTCTTTCTTTCTAATGGGATTTCCACAAACTGCAATACTACCTAGCTTTGTCCTGCAACACATCCTGTGTGTTGCTCACACAGTCTTATCTTAATCACACACTATATCAGCCAATAATATTATCAATGTTCCTTCCTACCTTTAAATTCGGCCAAATACACTCTTCACCAGTCATTATTGAATCATTCAACATATCAAAACCATTTTAGTACACTTTCATTCCTTACTCTATTCTACCTACACTGCACATGTTTTTCAGACATTTCATTTCTGCTCCTCTAATTCCTGATTTTATACCTCTATACATAACAGCACATAAATTAGATATGCAAAATATGATACTGTAGCTCAGTCATTTTCCTACCTTTAACTTGTTGGTTAAAAGTAGGGTAATGGTAATGGAACAATGGTTATTACCCTACCCCATTACCATTACCAGGTAATGGTAATAGGGTAGGGTAATGGAACACACATTGGTTTTCATATGGATTCTAAAGCACTTACCATCCTGCACGCAATATAACTTCTATAATGCCTGGAATAACAAGGTCATCACTTCCAATGCGCCACCGTCGCTGGAATACCACTAATGCTGGCATCTTTCTTCACAATCTAGTATCTAAACAGGGAAATGAGATAGTGTAAATTACATGATCAAAAACTCATCAAAATCAAATACTGTAATCATTAAAATAATAATCAAAAACATGATTATTATTATAGTACGTATTATAAACTAACAAATGAAGTACTGTATGCTATAGAGCAGACAGAACAACAGCAGAGGAAGTTGCTGATCTGTACAATGTAATCAGTGCAGCAGCAGAAACCCAAGCCCTTATAACTGGAGACTTCCACCACCAAACAATAGACTGGGTGTATCTAACATCACAAGTGAAAGGAGAAAAATTTCTTGACCCCTTCATATGATCACAATAATATAAGATAACTACAATTATAGAAACCTTAGTAAAGGTCCTGGATGATAATTCTAAACTACCCTCACAGAGACTATTAAGGAATGAGAGAGGAATTGCAAAACACTTCCTGAAAGGAGTTAAAAGAAAATCAAGACATGGAAGTATAATAGGAAAGCTTCAAAAAGGTTATTACAGAATGGGTTAAAAAATATGTGCAAAGAAAGAACTAGACGAATGACACAAGCAGAGAGAAAAAAAAGCTGTAATAACCAAGCAAAACCTCTGGAGCAGGTATTAATTAAAATAAAAATAGATTATGAGATATTCAGAAAGGCTTTAAATTCAGCCAATTGGGAAATTATTAGATTAGCCAAAAGAAACTACAAAAGAAAGCCTGCTCAAAACAAAGGAGAATCCAGTATTTCTATGCCTATATAGAAAGTAAAACTAAAATAAAAGACTAGGTAGGAGGACCTTTAAAGGATGAGACAAACCAAGTTAAAATTGACGATAAAAGGGCAGCCAACATTTTGAACGCATACTGTACTCTGCATCAGTATTCACACTAGAAAGTTTAGACAACTTCCTTATACCAACACAAATGTTTGAAGCAGGTGAAGACAATGAATTAGGGGATATTCAAATAACATGCGATGTAATCAGGAAAAGCAGTGGCAAACCAAAAGATTCAAAAGCTCCAGGTGTTGACAGAATTCAATCCAAAGTTGTTCCGGAACTGACATTTGAACTACTGTTATGTCTGCCACTGAAACTTCTTTCCAGAAAATTAATCAACCAAGGGATAGTTTCCTTGGATTTAAAAATATGCAAATGTTACTCCTATTTTCAAAAAAGGCAGAAAGAACTTATAGAAAACTACTATTCAATTAGTTTAGGGTTTATAACCCTATGGGTGAAAATAGCATCTGTTTTGTCCTACATTGTTGTTTGTTGAGCTTGAAACTCTCCTTGTTTGTGTTACAACTAAAATTTTGAAGAAGCCGTCTGGATCTACATCCTCCAAATTGTTCAGTATTTAAAGTTTCAATGAGACTGGCCCTGTCATGTCTGGTTTGCAGTGTTGTTAGCCTTGAGGCCCTCAAATGTTTCTGGTACGAGACCTGACTTTTGTCGACTGGTTTTGAACTTTCACCAAAAAAGCTGCCTTTCTGAAGACAAGGTCTCCATACATTGTCACACTAATCCAAAGTGAGGGAGAGGGGGAGTCACATTAGACTTCAAGGAAAAGAAAATGGTTATTCAGCAGTAGCACACTTAGGTGTGCCCCATCTAGACTAGGGTACCCAAGCACGGAGACCTCGCGTTCAAAAAGTACACACTTGCTTGGAAAATGTTGAGCTATCTACTGGCAGGTGCACTAAGGCATCAAGCGAGAGAACGCATCCAGACGTCTCTGTCCTGCCCAAGAATTAATAATGGGCTAATTAATAGGTAAATACTGGAATTCTGAACATGTTACTGTACATGTATACTCCTGTATTAGTTAATGTGTTCATTTAGGTATAATGCAGTGGCGCATTTGGTGTTGGCAAAGATATAGCTAGGATGGCTGCTATATTAAGGGGGAGGGCTAAATTAAATATTACTGGGCAAAGTGATTGGGAGGAATGAGAAAACTCTTAAGAAACTAGCTATTTCCTGTGCCCACCAAGGTCACTCCTGTTGCAGGCTTGTGGTCAGCTACCTCCACCTCCGGGTCTTGCTATATCCTCGGATTACTACCACACACTTATACTTATATTAAGCTACACGGACTAGCACATGTTTCACATCCTCCGCCGCGGACGAGTTAGCTGGCACATTATCAACAGGTGACACCCCCACCAAAATCACCAATATTATCAGAGAACATCATGCATGACCGGAAGCGAGATAGGCTCAGAGAACACCCAATAGGTGTCTCCAGCACCCACCTGCCGGACACACGGGCATCTCTAAGCTGTAGTCTCACACACACACGCACCACGCCATGCCAGTGTCCCTGCAGGTGTTCAGGAGGTGGGCGGACCCATGGTGAGGGAGGTTGTGAGGGGCGGGGAGCGTGAGTGTCGCCTGGTGAGTGACAGCCCGGGTACTGGAGGTGTACGGGACCGCCTCCACCACACTGGGGCTCAACGCTCCATATACCACCACATGCATGAGCGCTTTCGTCATTTAATACCTTTTTTTTTTTTAAACATACTTAAATCAGATAAGCGCTCGGGTTATTTTACTGTTTCTCTCCTATGTGGAAATAAATAAATAAATAAATAAATAAATAAAATATATATATAAACACACATAGACACTCACCCTGCAAGTTGACTCGAACCCAAAGAGCCAGCTGGTTGATACCTGGATCCAGCTGTGTGTGCAACTGACATAACTGGTACGCCTAACTGACTATATACCACTCAGACCCTTCAAAAGGAATGGAAACTTCGGAATATTTCCGCAACATTTCCATCCCCCGAAGGCACCAGAGCAGTACATGGTCACATTACGTTTTTCATCAAGCAACTGCATTATCAGGGAGAACTCGTGTCTCTATTCACACACATTTACTTGCCTAAACACGCAAGTGAGAGGTTCGCTGTTCAGAGCCATCTGGAGGTGATGTTCGCTCCAGCTGGCTACCAAACTCACCACCTGTTAATTACGAAGTGCACAAGGGGACCGCGGTACCAGACAGAAGACTCCTGCCATCATCCCGGCTCCCCCACAAGAACCAGGTGCTGTATCTTCTGCCAGTGATTGATTGATAAAGATTAAGCCACCCAAGAGGTGGCACGGGCATGAATAGCCCGTAATTCTGCCAGTGGTGGGCCTGCCCCTGATGTAGGGTGGCCACTTCCTGGTTCTGGGATAATATGTCACCTACTGTGAGGGGACCACTCACAGCTGGACACCACAGTCAACTGGAAGTGGGGGATAAGGAACTGGATCAAAATGAGATAGATCGCAACCTCAGCCTCCCTATCACCTCGCCCTTGGGTCGCTCCACTGTTCAAGCAGTGGTTGCCCTTCATGACCGGTTGCAGGAACACCAGCAGCAGTCACAGCAGGAGACGGAGCGGCTGCAAGAGCAGCTCCAACATGAGAAAAAATCCGCCAGCGATATTGCGATGATGTTCACGTGTATGAGGGGACTTGTAAGCAATGACTGCCAAACTCCTCCTTCCACCCCTGAACCCTCCAAACATGTGTTCGGTTGCCCATCAGGGGAAACTTCTAGTGATCTTGAAATCTTGTGTAGTGGTGCCCTTCCACGCAGGTTAACTGCCAAAGTTGTGCTAAAGTATGTTCAAAACGACTCTATAGCTAGAAATGACAGACAAATTGCACTAGACAATTGGAGGCAAATGTGTGACATTGGTAATAAACTAAGAAGTGTTCCTGGACTTATATCGTATTGAAATAGATAATATATATTAAGTGGACTAATAATATCAATCTATATAATGCTTACTGTAAATGCACAAATAACTAAGTTATCCATTCTTAGCTGGAACATTGCACCCCTCAATAAAAGGTTCTCAGATTTACATCACAAAGTAACAACTGAACACATTGATATTGTATGTCTCCAGGAGTGCAGAGTTCCCGCAAGATTCTCACCCCCGAAATTGCCCTCATTTGTTTCTTACAACCTCAGATCCAGTAACTCTTGCATTCTATACATCAAACAATCCCTACCCCATCAACTTCTGCCAGAAAAACAAACTGCCGGTCAACAATATCATGGAGTGAGAATCTATGTGAGCAACTCTATCCTCAATGTATTTAATCTATATGCTCCAGCAGGAAAGTTAAATTATATTGATCTTCCGGCCTGCGCTCAAGCAGAGCCCACCATCATTCTTGGTGACTACAATGCTAGACACAAGGACATTGGTGGCTCTCGCTTCAGTAACGGTAATGGGAATCAACTGCTGTCGCTACTAAATAGTCACCAAGATGTGCAGATTGTGGGTGACCTTGAACCCACGCATATTTGTGGAGGCATTCTAGACCTCTGTGTTGGTTTCAACGTCTCTCACGTCTGGTACACATCATCTATTGTAACAGATTTGTTGTCAGATCATCACCCTAGATTGACTACTCTATGTATCGGAAATACCATCCTGCCGGTGGGACTTTTAAACGGAAACGGCTCAGTGTTCCTCCTGCTCGACGTGAAGACTTTGTTGCTCATGTGTCAGAGTGGTACAGCACACATGATCCCCACATTTAACGACGGTCTAGTACAGAACATTCAGATGTTCGCTGACTACTATGAAGAAAGCACCTCAAGGTAACCCTTTAGGTCGGCCCCCTGCACCATCCAATAGTTCAAATTCAAATTCTTTATTCAGGAAAAGTACATACATAGTTGATTTACAAACATAAAGTTGGATTTATAGATAGAGCTGGTACATACAATACCTAAAGCCATAATACGCATATAGCATTTCGGGCAAGGTGGGGGGAGGGGGGAAACCCCACTTAGACTAAACAGTCGGAACGATATGAAAAGTAATAAACACCAATGCCTTATACAATGACCTCAAACTACGTACTTTGAAACGCACTGCCAGACGAGTTGGACTTGCATATAGGGAAACACGTACGCCAGCAATGCTCAAGTTCTTTCAGAAAGTCCTATAGGGGTCTATAGGGGTATAGGGCTATAGCGCATGACAGAGCTCAGGCAAGATAACTGAGAAACTTTTTTTAATAGTCTCAACTCTCACACACCCCTCAGCCAGGCATGGAGGAATATTAAAAGAATTAAAGGCGATAAGATCGGCCAAGTAGCACACCCTCACCCTCTACACAGAACAAACGAGTTAGTCGATGCTTGGGCAACCATCTCTGGCTTCAATAATCTTCCCCAGACATACAGTTCAGATTAAATACTGGTTACGGAGATCGAGAAAGGCTCGTTGACTTCATGATCCACAAGGAAGATGAATGCAACGTGCCATTTACTGAGTTTGAATTACTCGCAGTCCTAAACAAAGTAAAGCCACATCCCCCGGTGAGGATAGTATCACTTATGACATATTGCGTCTGCTCCCTTTAGTACCAGGGAATCCCCTGCTTGAGCTGTATAATATGAGCTATGTTACTGGGGAACTTCCTATCTCTTGGACCAACAGTATAATCATTCCAATTCCCAAGTCAAATCAAGAGAATGCTTTCCGCCTAATTTCCCTTACTAACTGCATTTGCAAAACATTCGAGAGAATGGTCCTAAACCGTCTCCTCCATAGAATAAGAACCATGCTATCCCCCCAGATATATGGCTTCATGCATGGAAGGAGTGTGCATCATTGCATCACCACCTTTCTTACCCTGCACACTAAAAAGTCATATACCACCTTCCTAGATCTTAAGTCTGCCTTTGATATTGCAAATCGACATGTTATCTTGAGTGAGCTTGCAAGAATGAATATTGGTAGTCGGCTTCTTTGTTGGATCAGGGGTTACTTATCCAACAGGAAGTCATCTGTATTTTTCCAGGGGCATAGGAGTGTAACAAGAGACTTTGAACTAGGTACCCCGCAGGGTGGTGTCCTCAGTCCTACCTTATTTAATATCTTAATAAAAACGCTGTTAAACTCTGTACCGAGCAAACTCAACGTCCACATCATTAGCTATGCTGATGATATAATGATACACACCACTGGGTATGCTAACACGCAGAACACTCTTAACTCTGTATTAGACTCATGTCAGGACCTAGGTTTAGTTATCTCAGCAGAGAAAACAGAGATACTAAATCGGAGCCCACCCAGGCAGGGAGGAGCTGTTCGCAAAATGCAACTGTCTGATGGCTCCCAGCTTGACTGTGTAAACAGATTCAAATACCTTGGCCTTGAGGTACCACTGTATAGTCCTGTTGTATTCAGACTCTGTCGTCAGTATAAAGAGAGGCTCCGAGCTCTCAAGGCACAGCACCGTTCCTGTGCCAGGTAAGTCTACTACGGGCTCACCATAGCCCGTGCTACTTGCCCCCGCTCCTGTGCCAGGTAAGTTACGGGCTCACCATAGCCCGTGCTACTTGGAACTTGTTCCGAGTAGCTGAATCTATAAGAAATAGTCACTGCTTTCACAACAAAGCAGTGAAGTTCTGCGAGGAAGAAAATGTATTACCATGATTTGGTGATTAACCGACTATGATTAACCGAAGTAGCGCGCGCGCGCATCGAGCGTGGTACTTAAAAGCGCGCCTGCGGAATTCAGACGCCTCAACAGCACAATATTCAACACGAAGTTTGCAGAATGCATGGTGAACGATCCTAACCGAAATTACGAGGTACCGAACGAAGTAATCTTATTGGAATGTGACGACACCACACTGTTTAAGGACCTTTTCCCACCAGACTACGCCCAGTTCAAAGAAAAACATCAAATGACTACTAGAAGCAAGAAAAAATAGAAGAAAGCAGAAAGAAACCTACTGAGGGCAGCTGCCCTCTTCCCCCTCTTTAGGGAGATGGGGACCTAATTTTGCTCGTTTTGAGATGGTGGTACCCGACGTAGACTCCACACACCAAGAGGAAAGAAAACCTGCCACTGCCGCCTTCCAGACCCGTCTTCCAGCCTAGCCAGATGTGGGGTTGCTACAGCATCGACTCTTTGACACGCAGCTGGATCAAGCCCTGGCACTTTCTCTTCAACTTCATGATTTCCTCTCACCGACTTCTTTTCAGCTGTCCCCACTTCAATGCTCGCCCCAATGGACATCTCCTGTATCATTGTCATTGTCACTCGGCGAACTCTTGCTCGCCTCCTCCTCGCCAGATACACTATAAAACGCCCACCCTCCTCCTGGGAAACCCTGCTTCCCCGGTTTTACTTTCCAAGGGAAGACGCTAAAGCAGTTTGCTGGGGACACTTGTTCTATCTTGCAACGAATTTGTGTTACCTTGGGGGTGCTCCGACGGAACCCCCAAAGTGATAAGCCAAGAATACCAAGAAGTGGAATTACCGTAAATTCAATCATGCAACTTTCAATTAGAGATGTCTCTTTACTGTATTTGATTTAATACATTATCATTATAACGGCTATCCATTAATTTTATTTCTTTATAATACTTTATGGTTATTCAATAATCATTATTAGTCACCATAATTAATTCCACTTTAA